TTTATTTATCTATAATAAAAGAAAATCGTACAGGTAACCGCTGGTTCTATGTGTTCAACTTTGCGTTACTTTTTGTTTTGCTGCGCAGATAGTATTAGTCAAAGGAAAATAAAATTAAGTAGGTGTGAAAAAAAATCTACAGGGAGACAACAACTATTTAACATTAGAGCCTTATTAGCTGTTAAATTTGTAGTAAAACATATCATGCAAGCCGTTCTGTAGACCTCTGAAATGCAACTAGAGCTGAGATTTGACGCGCTGGAAAGGACATATTTGTTTATGAACTTAATTTTTTTTTTCCAAAATTCCAAATTGTTGAAAGTTCTTGCAATTTTAAGTGGGTTTTTGTTCCTCGATTTTTCCTGACTTTTTTTTTCTCTATGTGACAAATCTGCAAGATTTTGCACAGCAAAACGAAAATTATGAGGTTATAGAAAAATGAAATTATGAGGTTATAGAAAAATGTGTAGAAAGTATATTAAAAGATATATTATGCAGAAGGTATATTAAAAGATATACAGGGTGTCCCAAAAGGTCGTTTACAAACTTAACATGCTGATCTGTCATATCATGATGAACAAGATTTACATAGGAACTTGTGTCCGAAAATTAAAACTGCGACCGCTAGAGGGCGATAATTGCACGAAAACGGGAGAGTGGGAAAAACANTATTTATTGAAAAGCAATACTTGTATTATTTTTATGCTAGTGAGAACCAAAACAATATGGAAATGAATGAGGGAAAACTGGATCCTACCACGTGATTTCCCGGCCAATAAAAATGTAGCGTTAAACGTTTAATGCAACCTTGTTGGAAGTCGCATACGAAGTATAACTTCAAAAGGTTGTAGATTAAAAAGATATATCTATTCAAACAAATATGTGCTGAATTGTGATGATTTTGCATTTGTTTTCATCATATTTAGTTACGATTAGAAGCTACGAAACTGAACAATCACATTATGAACTCTAAAATTATCTATTTTAATTCATGAGAAATCGCTTAAAATGGTTTACAAAATATATTAATAATACGTTAAATAAAATACTTTAAATAAAAATGAAAAGTTAATTAAAAATTATTATTAAGCACCATTTAATATTTTCTGCGATTTCTTTTTACTATCTGAGAGCCTTATTTTTTTTCTTGTAGTTTATCTATAATAAAAGAAAATCGTACAGGTAACCACTGGTTCTATGCAGAGCCGGATTATACCTTTCGTAGGCCCTAGGCATAGCCGTTTTTTGCCCCCTCCTTCCCCCAATCCTCCCCTCTTTTCAAAATATATGCTAAAATTTTCTTGCATATTTTTTTTTACATTTTTATCAATATGGATTTTAATTTACAAATTTGTTTATCGAACTTTATCTGCAATACCGACATACTGCCGATATTGCAGTTGATATCGATAATACCATTATGATTAGTTCGATCGATAACTATGTAAACATTATATTTTTATTTGTATCTTCATAATTTTGTGCAAAATACACTTGTTGTTTTCAAAGCTAAATTATTTTTGTCAACAAATTTTTTTCTCAAGTTTTTCGTGGGCCCCTGAATTTCGTAGGCCCTAGGCACGTGCCTAGTGAGCCTATAAGTTAATCCGGCCCTGGTTCTATGTGTTCAACTTTGCGTTACTTTTTGTTTTGCTGCGCAGTCAAAGGAAAATAAAATTAAGTAGGTGTGAAAAAAAATCTACAGGGAGACAACAACGATTTAACATTCAAGCCTTATTAGCTGTTAAATTTGTAGTAAAATATATCATACAGGCCGCTCTGTGGACCTCTGAAATGCAACTGGAGCTGAGGTTTGACGCGCTGGAAAGGACATATTTGTTTATGAAATTAATTTTTTTTTCTTTCAAAATTCCAAATTGTTGAAAGTTCTTGCAATTTTAAGTGGTTTTTTTTCCTCGATTTTTCCTGACTTTGTTTTTTCTCTATGTGACATTTCGTTTTGATGTGCAAAATCTACAAGATTTAAGAACTTGAAATTATGAGGTTATAGAAAAATGTGCAGAAAGTATATTAGAAGATATATTATGCAGAAAGTATATCAAAGATTAAAAAAAGATTAACATTCGATAATTACTTCGAAGATTATTAACTTGTAGTAAATACCATACAAAGCTGCTTCCCGTTGAAATGCAACTGCGGAGTTGAAACATGGCATGCTGATAGAACTATTTTTATTTGTTAACAATTTTTGTAGTTTTTTTTTAAATCAAAATTCCAATTTGTTCGAAAATTATTGGATTTTTGAATGAACTTTCTCTTAAATTCTTTGCTTTGATATTAACTATTTATCCATCGTTTCCCTTAATTTATAAGTTCATGCTTGAGCCATGTCAAGAGTGACAAAGAGAGGGAGAAAGAGAGAATGCCAAATATATAAATCTTAACATTTATATTGAAATAAAAGTCCCACAGTGGACTGATCGTAAAGACACGGTTCCCAGTAGAACACCGAAGTCAATCATCACTGGCTGCGGTCAGTAAGCGGGTGGGTGACCACTTTGATCAGCCTGAGTAGGTACCGAGGGTGCGCGATCCTCGTTAAACTGTTCTACCCCAAAGTGCTCGACTTCACACGTAGGTCGTCGGGCTACCAAAGCAGAGGAGCCATCCCAACTGCAGAGGATCGTCCTCAGGGATGTTCCCCACACCGTCGCCAATAGCCCATTGTGCAACTTTAGTGCGATGTAAAGTACCTACCTATATTGAAATAAAATAATAATAATAAAAGAATCTTAATCCAAGAGAAGCTGAAGCTGGTACATGACATTTTAGTCAATTTGTGTAAATGAACTTTTAAGTTTATCACTAACTCTATTTTGTTACTGCTCTCAATCTTTTTCTCAATTTTTCATATATTAGACAGTGGATAATATGCTGCTTCTTTGATCAAGAACCGGGAACGAACATGAAATCAGTCCTCTCTAGTTCCGAAATAATTATGCGGTTCAAAATCGCATCCTGTATTTCAAAAGCAGTCTGTAACATGAAATCAGTCCCCTCCAATAGAGTAAATTGTTAACTTATTGACTTTTCAAATTTCATTTTGTTCTCACCAACAATTAGAGAAACTGCCTTAGTTTTTCTCAATAATCAAGGTAGTTCATTTCAAAAACATATTAATGAAAAATCTCACTATCTTCGGAGAACCTATAGTGAATTCAATAAAACGAATCAGAATAATTAGTTTAAAATGACATCCTGCATTTCAAAGGCATAGAAACAACAAGCACAATAACTTTGCTTAAAAAGAGTTTCTTAAAAAAAAATGCTTAGAGTCCCTCCGCTCGGAAGAAGTTAAACTTCGTAACCTGCGACGTTAATTGTAGAAGAATCAGCAGTCGTAGAAGGATCACTAGTTCTATTCAACGACGCTTTTTCCTGCTCCCTAATAAATTATATGTATATCAAAACAAACTAAAAAAATATTTATAGAAAAACAAAAGTTTTATGACTTTTATTATTTTAATGCTAGTGAGAACCAAAACAATGTGGAAATGAATGAGGGAAAACTGGATCCTACCACGTGATTTAACAGCCAATAAAAATGTAGCGTTAAACGTTTAACGCTTCCTTGTTGGAAGTCGCATGAGAAGTATAACTTCAAAAAAAAAACTTTTAAATTATGTATCTTTATAGATCTTAGTAAAGTTATTCGTATAAAACAAAAAAAATCCAATCGATTTATTGCATCAAAGAGAGGAAATTTACATTTAAAAGATATTAAATATTGCCCTCACTAAATTGCCTCAGTAATTAAATGAACGATTTTCTTACTTACTTTTAGTGATTTTAAACGTTCCAGTCACGCTAATTGAAATCTATGCAACGTAAACACTCAGAACATTATGACTAACTGCTTTATTAAAACATAAACAGTTATGTGATAAATTGAAAGTACAAAAACAAATCATTTACTAAGTATATCCAACGACAGGGACATGTCTCTAGATTTATTGATTCATTTATATTAAACAGTCGTTAAAGTCTGTTTGTATATTGGTTTTGGTTACGTAATTGCATGGATACATAATTTCTTTCATTATTTGCATACTAAATGTCGTTAGTAAAAATTAAAATTTTCGGAATTCTAGGAAATTTTTATGGCCTGGTACAAGCACAAAATATCTATTGATTCAGCTCAATCCTCTGATAAGGTGGTTTGCAGTGAAAAAAATGTGCTAATCCGCAGTTAGATGCTTTCACTATTTTAAGTCAGCATTTTAAAAATATGACTTTTTTTAACTTAACTATTCATTATAGGTGTACCGAGTACTGGAAAAAGTGAAAAAAACAAAATGTAAATTGCTTTTTATTTTTCAACAGTATTAAACGACATTCGTAAAAATAAATTCTTTGAAGTTCTAGAAAATTGCCTAGTATGTTTCAAACATAAGATATCTTCACTCAGTTCAACCTGAAAGTGTAAAAACGATATGAAAACTATTACTTCTTTCATTTGTATGCTAAAGGACGTTCTTAAATAAACGAAATTCTAGAAAATTGGATGGTCTGATGCAAACATAGAATATCTATTCACTCAGTTCAACCTGAAACTGTAAAAATGATATGAAAACTATTACTTCTTTCATTTGTATTCGTTCTTAAATATACGAAATTTTCGAAGTTCTAGGAAATTGCATAATATGTTGCAAACATAGAATATCTTTTCACTCAACTCAACCTGAAAGTGTTAAAACGATATGAAAACTACTATTACGTCCTTCATTTGTACGTTATTTGTTTGCATATAAGACATCCTTAAACAAAAATTTTTTTCTTTCATAGTCTGTTGCAAACATAAAACATCTATTTATTCTTCTATGAAGACAGTTTGCAGTGAAACGAGTTTGTCTGCTTCCGAATGTTTTGGTAAAATAATTAAGTTAAGATAGTACAAAATATTTGTTTAACATTCCACTTTCATTCTTGTATGCATTGGGGAAACATGAGTTTTCTTAATATTTTCAAATTACTTCTAGATTTTATTGAAATGTACGACTTTTTTCCTACATTATTATTCCTCATCGGTGTACGCAGTAATGGAAAGAGCACAATTACGAAATGGGAAGTATTACTACTTGCAGTACCAATTGTATTAATACCTTTGACGCAAGCCTGGATAGTTCTGCTGAAGGGTTACTCAATGCTATATTACTGCTCGAACATTAAGTGCACTAAGAAATGTTTATGTCAATTGTTAATCAGAGCCTTTGTTGTAGCAGATTGGATAATTCTAAAAGTCAAAGAAAAAGAAATCGCTAGTTTATTGCAACGTTTCAAGACGTTAAAAAGATTACGAGGATCAATTTTCAGAAGATGTAACTTAATCATAAATTCGGCAACTGTTATTATCCTACTGTTTTCTACAGTGGTCTACATTTTCATAGTCGAACATTTTTTGACGAACATTGAAGATAGTAAACGTTACTTTGCAGCTGCAACTTTCAACGCTAATATATCTTTAGATGATTTCACAATATCCATTCTGACTGCTCTGTACTTTCTTGTGACTAGATTAACCAGGACAGTGATTCCTTCTTTATTAAGCATTATCTATATCACATGGTGTAATGCCTTATGCGAAGCAGTGAAAAGGTGCAAAGATATGATTCGTATTCCAACTGCGAATAAAACTTTAGATTATCTACCATTTATCCAAGAATATACTTACACTTATAACTTGATAGCAGAAATAGAAAACATTTTTTCTTCGCATGTTTTTTGCCTGATTGGAGCGAACTTCTTTGTCTTCTTTCTGTCATTCACTCAACTTGTTGGCTTTACTTCAATTTTCGATATGCCTCAGAAAACTGAAAATTTTACAATTTTATTGGTTCAGGGAGTCCTCTTATTTGTCATAATTTACAAAGCTGCGAAAGTTGGAGAAGAAGACCGTTTAGTCAGAAAAAAAGTTAAAGATTTAGTATTTTTCTTACTCTCATCAAAAGAGACTTGTCATAACGGCAATTTTCTATCAGAATTTTTAAATTCAAAGCCAAATATTACCCTAACAGCTGGGGGTGCATTTACATTCACCAAAAGTTTGCTTTTTACAACAGTTGGTGTCATTATCACATATAATCTCCTCATTTTGCAACTACAAATTACTTAGAACAGTGGTTCCCAGAAGGTGTTCCACAGAAGCTTAGGGTTCCATGGAAGGAACATAAGGGTTCTGACAACTGAATTTGTTTGATGTGCAAAAACCTATAATGAAAACTCCACAGGAACACCATTCCTGTTAAATTAAATTACAGGACTGATGGAGCTGGAAAACCACACATCATAGCAGAAAATCTGATTGGTTCATCGGCTGTGTTATTAGGAAAAATGCGGCTCAGAAAGTTGTTCCTAGAGTGTTGAACAACCAATTTCTAGATCCATGAATAGTGTTGAACAATTTTGCATGATGGGAGCTGGTGATATCAACTTTGTGACATTCCTTCTTTGTGAGGTTTAATTTTCGGTTCGTCTTTTAGAACACTCAGAATGATGACGAGGACTTATCGTATATACATATTTAATTTAGATTCTGGATTATTGATGCTCGAAATTAATTACAAAATATTCATATGCTAAATAAAATACAGCTTTTATTTCTGGAGCCCCAATGCTCACTTCTTCATCTATACTCTGTGCACATCCAGTCTATACTGAAAAATCCTTTCTCACTCGTGTCCTTCGCTTCTACTCGTGTACTCGTGTCTTTCCCCACTATAGGGGAAAAACACTTTTAGTGTCTCTGACCCTTAGGTCAGGGGTCATTCAGATGCTTGTGAGTGGAATCAGAATCATGGCTAACTTCTTTGGCTAATATATTTATAAACTAAACTCGGTTTCCAAGAAAAAGAGGTCGATCATTGAGTTCTTAGCCAAAAAAAATTTGCAATCACTGATTTAGACTATCAATTTACAAGAATGACGTTTCTCAATTTTTCTTTTAAACTAGTTCAAGTAGTAGCTTTTCAACTCTATTGAACTTCCTTTCCTTGTGATTATAAAAACGATTTGTATGTTTACTGGTCTACAGCCTTTTCTTTAAGAAGGAAAAAAAAAGAAAAAAAGAAATTCGTGAAGGTACTCTTTTTCTCAAAGGAAATATTTTCAAATTTCCCATTTAAATATTCATCTTTAAATTCCTATTTAAATATTAGTCTTTAAAAATTTTCTCAAGTTAGTTCTGCTAAATTTTGTTGCCACGTTGGTTTTTTTCAACAAAATATCAAACAATAGAGTTTCCTACGCATGAAGTTAAGTTAAAATAGCCTTTAAGCTATTTTTTACACTTTTGTAATATCTTCATATTTCTATCTCTGGAATTAAATGCGTGAGTTGAAGATTATTTCATGTTGTAAAACACATTTTCCCAATGATAAATTTATACAAAAAAATTGACACTTAATAATAATTTTTTCCTTTCTTTCTGTTAAAAAAAAAAAACTACAAAAGACCTAAGAATAACACCCTTAAGAAATAGCACTAATTAAATCATTGACATGATAGTGATTTAGTTAATTCTTACTTGCATAGTTTGAAAAATCCCATTCCCACATCAAATATTGTTTAAGAACTAATAAAGTTAATGTATTTAGGAAATATGTATAATTAAATATATAAATAATTCAATACATTAATACATAATTTAATATAAGAATACATTTAAGAAAAAAAAACAAAAAAAAATTATAGTTAACAACTTATTAATAAATGTACTAAACTTATTTCAATTATATAAATTAATATATTTAAAAAATATATATATTTAAAAAAATATATAATATTAAAAAAAATTATAATTAGCAACTCCCTAAATTATAAACTAAATTCATTTATGTTTCAATATATAAATTTATATGATTAAGAGAGTGCAAAATATTAAAAAAATCTAATAATTCAATACATTAATACATAATTTAATATGTAAATATATTTAAGGAAAAAACATTTTTTTTTATAGTTAACTTATTAATAATTGTACTAAACTTATTTAAAATATATATATATATTAAAAATATATATATCAAAAAAGATTTAAATTAGCAACTCCCTAAATTATAAACTAAATTCATTTACGCTTCAATATATAAATTTATATGTTTAAGAGAGTGCAAAATATTAAAAAAAAAATCATTATTTATTACATTTTGAATGTTCATATGTTGCATTTTTTAAATTCATTCATTACCTTTTATTACATTAAATTAAGAACAGAAAATAATGTTCAGAAAAGTAATATGTTCAGAAAGTACAAAATTTTAACAAATTTGATTAGTGATTAATTTTGTTTTGCGGCACAAAAGCTACAAGATAAATAACTTGAAACAAGAGTAACTTGAAATTATAATGTGTAGAAAAATACAGAGAAAGTATGATGTAAAAAAAATTTTAATACTAGATATTTAGTTCGAGAATTGTTAACTGTTAGACTTATTTATTATTCATGTATTTAAAAAATATACAAGAAAGCTCTGCAATATGCAGAATTGCAACTTGAAGTTGAACTTTCGACCTACTAAAAAAAAGCCATATTTATTAGCATAATATAATATTTTTATTTATTTATTAATTTTTTTATTTATATTTATAAAAAAAAGTCTGATTTGTTTAATAGTTATTGCTATTTTAAATGCTTTTTCATGAATTTTTCACTTTTTTAGTGTAAATAAGGACTATATATCATTGTTGTAAAAAATATTACTTATCTCACTAGACATCTTTATTTTCAATGCACACACTTCAGTTTATATTAAAAGTAACAACAAAAAAAATGTAAATTAGAGTAAGAGATTAGATGTTACCAAATACAAGATTTTGACATTTATATTGATATTTTTAAAATAATAAAAAGATTCAAGGGCTTGCAAGAGAGGAAAACAGTTTCCTATTTGAATTGATATAGAGACATAAATAGGACTGGGCTATAAATTGATGTATCGAGACATATCGATTTAACACATATATCGGCAAGACGATACAGCGACTTTCATTCAAGGCGATGCATCAGAAATCTGATTTAAGCCGTCGAGTAAAGACAACGAGCGCAAAACGATATAGCGATATAAGACACGCAAGGATATAAGATAACGANATTAATTTTGTTTTGCGGCACAAAAGCTACAAGATAAATAACTTGAAACAAGAGTAACTTGAAATTATAATGTGTAGAAAAATACAGAGAAAGTATGATGTAAAAAAAATTTTAATACTAGATATTTAGTTCGAGAATTGTTAACTGTTAGATTTATTTATTATTCATGTATTTAAAAAATATTCAAGAAAGCTCTGCAATATGCAGAATTGCAACTTAAAGTTGAACTTTTGACCTGCTAAAAAGGCCATATTTATTAATATAATATATTATTTTTATTTTATTTTTTTAATTTATTTTCTTTTTATTTATATATATATATAAAAAAAGTCTGATTTGTGTAATAGTTATTGCAATTTTAAATGCTTTTTCATGAATTTTTCACTTTTTTAGTGTAAATAAGGACTATGTATCATTGTAGTAAAAAATTTTACTTATCTCATTAGACATCTTTATTTTCAATGCACGCACTTCAGTTTATATCAAAAGTAACAACAACAAAAAAATTGATATTAGAGTAAGAGATTAGATGTCTCCAAATATACGATTTTGACATTTATATCGATATTTTTAAAATAATAAAAAGATTCAAGGGCTTGCAAGAGATAAAAACAGTTTCCTATTTGAAATGATATAGAGACAAAGTTATCACTATGTATCCTAAATGCGCAAAAATACTTCTTGTATTTCTTATTGTGTCACACATTCTGTTTTAGTAAGTTAATTTTTTTATAGAATAGTAAAATGAATGACTAATATATAAACGAAATGTGTTTACTTAAAATTATAATATATTTGATTAACAAAATGATCTTTGCTTTTTTTTAAAAAAAATATCTACTAAAAAAATGATGCTATCAGGGATGAGTGAAGTTTTTTAGCATATTGATATTTTTAAAAATATAAAAAACTTAGGGGGGAAATAAAATGTCCTATTTGAACTTTCACAAGCATATGAACTTAGTTAACAAGTAAAATTACTTCTCATTAATTTTGTATTATGCAATTATTCAACATTCTGCATTCCTAAGTTGATTTTTTTTTTAAATTTGAATGTTTTTGAAATCTAGGTAATTGTTTATTTTGTTACAAAATGTTGTTATATAAAGCTATAATAATTAACAAAGTGTTCCTTTCTGTTGAAAATGTTGATTTTTAAGGGAAAAATTAATGACAAATGGGAAGCAATAACAGTGGGTGAAGTGAACAGGTCGCAAAGCCTCCTAGTCATAGAGAAAAAAAATAAACAGACATTAGTGCATTTTGTGTCATGTGTGGTAAATATTTACATGAAAGATTTAATCTTAAAAAAAAAAACATCATTTAATCTAATCAATGTAAATAATAAAAAAAATTATAAGTCCTACTTAATTTCTGCGACAATTTTTATTCTTTTATAAAATTTTTTATTACTTTCTAGTTCAGGCCCAAGCTTTGGACAGATGCACTAGTTTGTTTCCTGTTTCTTAAGTGGCTTTGGATTGTTTTGCTATTTATGACACATGCAATAGTCTTGACAGTCTATATTTTGCATCACAGTTTGAAATCTAATTTTTAAACATAAAAGCCCTACTCTACAACGTTAGGTCAAGGTTATCGGCTCCCTTCACAAAATTGTGTGCTGCTATCTAAAGTTAACTTCTACTGTTAAACAAAACTTTAGTTTTAAAAATAATGTCTGCGATACAACTGAAGATTAACATAATCATGTCAAATAAATGTTTCTAAATGTAGATTCATATTCAATTCTGCAGTATTTGCCACAGTTTTTATTAACCTACTGAAATCATAGAAAGGAATTGTGAATAATATTGTAACAATTCAAAAGATTTGACATTTAATTTTCCATTTTTACTCATGCCATTAAAGTAAAATAATCACATAGAAAAATAATCAAAGACAAATATGATTTAATGTACAATCATGACAAAAATACAATGATTCTTGTGACATTATTTACAAATTCAACCTGTTTTATATTAACATTATTTAAACAGGCTAATTATCATGTATACTTTTCACAGAAACTTTCCCATTTTTTAATAAACTTCATAGTTTCCTTCGATTTCTTGGAAGGATCTTCTTTCATATTTTTATGCAAATGATTATTGTCGATTTCAAGCATTCCACCAATCACTCCCTGTAATAAGCAGAAAGTAAATAAATGAAAAGACTGATTTTAAAATAAACTAACAAGAATCTCATTTCTCCTGTTCATAAATGTGTATAAATGACGATTTTTAAATCATAAAAATATAAATGATAATAGGTGATTCATAAATTACATCAATCTGCATCATGATTCAGCATTTGTAAAACACTTCAACTAAGAATTGAAATATTTAATTCATAAATCACACTGATATGAGTAGCATTCTGTGATTTGTAAATTATGCTTGCATTAAACAAAATATCAGCTTCATAATTTCAGGAACTCGAGAAATTTAATTTGCAGAATTAAAACAATTAACATGCATTTGTCACAAAAACAACATGAGGGCCTATTTTTGATTTTTTGTACTGTTTCGGAAAAGGCTATTAGATTTTTGAAGAAAAAAAATTTTTTAAATGCATGTAATTATTTAAATTTGATGAATCTGAAAAATATTTGCATTGCAAGCTCTTGAAACTTAATGGCAAAAGCAGTTAGATTTCAATTTATACAAGGCACGTGACTATTGATTTTTTCTAAATTGCACAACAGTTGGATAATAACTAAAAGTGGCCACAAAGATTTATTTATAGTAAATTAAAAAAACTGGAATATTTTATTTTAAATTTGTTTTCCAATAGCTGGTAGATACAAAAACAAATTTCAGAAAAAAATTATTTTTTAAATTCTTATATGGTTTAATACATGATTTATAATGTACTTACATCTTTTAGCAAAAAATTTAAATGAACAAAATAAAACATTGTTTTTCAATGTCTGCAAATTTTATTTTTGCGAAAAAAGAAAGAAAATTAATTTTTTCTGGTCAATTAATGAAAATAAAATTTTATTAATATCCATTTGGAACAAAGTGAAATAACTTTTTGCCCAAGATCAAGTTCACTAAAATTTTATATTAAGAATATGAACTTAATAATAAATGCAGTATATTCATTAAAATGAAATTTTCAATTCCTAAACTGCAAACCATTAATTTTGTGTATGTTTCATATTGTTGTAAATTTTGATATTTCTCTTATGATTACAAAACAAAATCAAAAATCATGAAACAAAATTACCTTCTTAAATTATCTCTGTTTAACTAAATTACTGTTAACTCTGTTAAATTAAAAATCTGTTTAACTTCACCGCTATGAAATGCATTTATTTTGGTATTAACTTAATCTTAAGGGGAATACAAATCATATTTTAATTTGCAGTCGTTTACTTTTGTAGCCTAGAAAATAGAACTGTGATATTTCATTTATTTTAGAAAAAATAAATGTTTTTTTATCTAATAAATACTCTTTTGACATTGACATGTTTTGATTGTCATCAGGCTACAAAAATTTTTAAGCTATTTTAGATGGATATTTTTCAAAATTAAATATTTTATTTTTAAATAACAATGGAAGTAATGTCCCAAAAACTTCATATCTTCAAAATTAATAATTATATGGTATTTAGTCATATCTTTTAAAGATGAAAGCAAACACTGAAATTCACAAATTAATATATTTTAGAAGTTAAAATTGCATACAAGTTTTAATGCTACGTTTAAGTATTGTTTTCAGTGCGAAATACAGAATGTTGTCAATGAAAAACATTACAAATAAGTAGTCTGAAGTAAATTAAGTTTAAAACTGATTAAGTCGATATGAAAGCAGGAATCAAATCAAATGAAATAGATCAAAAATAGCATGTAACAAATGAAAGAAAGGTAAAAAACAAAAATTAAGAATTAAAACTCTTAAAGCAAGTAGTGTCTACATCTAATGTTTTGTTTTTAAAGAAAAAAAAAACTTTTCTAAAAATCTATATAAGCTCACCTCTGAATAATAGTAGTTGAATTAAACTGAAATTGCCTTTTCTAACCAACAATATTGTGCAATAGATGTATAGTGAATAACTGGAATACATTGATTTAAGAATTTTAAAGTAGGCTTTTATTTTTATTATAATCCTGATTATATAATATATTTTATTCAAAATAATATATTATAATGATTATACAGTTAAACCCTGCTATAGCGAACACGGTTTATAGTGAACTCCCGGATATAATAAACAAAAAGTTCGACTAATTTTTTTATAACAATTTTGAAATTTCTACTTCAAAATAAATACATATACCAATTTTTAAAACCATATATAGCATAGAATATAGCAATAAGCATTTTTTCTAGTTTGCTTCTTTTATCTCAGAAAACTAGAACTAAATAAAATTGTACTTTTCCAAAATTCTTCTCGAAATTTCTTTCATCTTCAATGACATGAGCAAACCCAGAATGGACCTGAGGATCAAATTCAACCCAAAAGTAAGGCAAATTTTTTGGTACCTGTAACAAAAAAAAGAGTGGATATTAGTTTTTAAAATATTATTAATAATGAACAATGTAATTTTGAACAATTATTTGATTAATGAACAATGTATTTGATTAATGAACAATGTAATTAAACTGTAATTTTACAAAATTTTAATTTAGAATATAACTATGATACAGACACTTACTACTTAAGGATATTGACCACGATAACTGAATGAAACTAAACTTTATTCTTTCTCTTGCCGCAACAGTTCATAAAATATTTTCATGTCAAACGAGTCCTGTGCAAACTTCGTGCATATAACATACAAAAATAATTAAAGGCTTAGTTCACTTCTGAACAGCAGCAGTTTTATAAAAAATTTTTGAACAGTAAAATAATTTTAAAAAACATATGGTTATGGTGGCCTTCCAAAAATATTTACATAAATGTGTGCATGAAAGCTTTGTTTGAATCATAAATACAGGGTTAGCCTGAATGATTCGTACAGCATTAAAGGGCTGTTTATTTGCAAGTGTACGAAGTACAAAGATGGGTGATATATTTAGAAATACACACACTGCCCTAATATCTAGAACATATTACAAATGTTCACTTTGAGCCGTGGTGGTTCAGGGGATACAGTGTTCCCCTTCCAATGAAGTGAACCGGGCACAACTGGCCAAGGGAGCTAAGTATGGCATCAAAACCGAATTTAAACTTCCAGAAGAGGCATATCTGTCCCTTTAAAGATATTTAACTCAAATTTTAAGGATTAAGAACAAGTTTTTAACTCAGGGGGCTTATCCTAACCCAATTATATAATAGTTTTTATCCAGTTGAAATTGATGAAAATTTGGGATAGGTGAAATTTAAAATTTTTTTCTCTTAGAAGATAATATTTGATTTTTTTTTTAAATCAAATATTATCTAATGTATTATATAATGTATACCTACCACTTTTGGTAGGTATTAATTTTTTTTTTTTTTTTTGAAAAAAAATGTGAAAAACGAGGCACAGGCACTTAAGATGTTAGAGAAAACTTCTGCTTCAAGGAAATAAAGTATGCAAACATTACAATAAATACTTACTGAATGTCTTAAATTTTTCTTGTTTAAATCTATCAATTTCACATTATTAGCCCACTCTGATTCACATTCTAAAATTTCTATCTGAAATTTAAAAAATAAAATTAGTCATTTTTATCAGAAATTTTTTTTTAATCTAAATGGAGAGCACATTATGATCCACTAAGCAAATGTAAATAATCTCAAGAAACTGAAGCGGTAAGAAATTACTTGATTAAAAAACTTAATTTCCTTCAAAAAATGAAAGTGGTATATATTAAGATATAAAAAATTTCTATTTCAATTACATTAAAATATAAAATACAGATATATCTAATCTTTATATTTTTGAAGCAAATGAAGTTTTTTAATCAAGGAATAAAATAAATAAATTGTATTTTAAATTGTATTTTAAATAATAAAACCATGAATAAATTGTATTTTAAATAATAAAACCATGCATAAAATGCAAATAAGTGCAATGTATATATAAGAACCAAGCTGTAGAAATTCAATAAGGTAATCTAATCAACAGATAAATGTACAGTACAATATTAATTTTTAAGTATGAAATGAAATGTAAGTGCTTGCCTTAAAGGACATAGGAGCAGAATCACTTATATCTTCCGGAACAGGTATGACTTCAAGATATGCGTGTGGATAATACCTAAAGTTCAGACTTGTTTCCAAAGTTACAATTTTTTTATTTTCTAGCAGAAAAAAATTCCGCAGCTTTGCTTTTAATTCCTGAAAGAATAGAAATACAACAAATAATTTCAAAACTCAAAGGCATAACTAACAACTTATAGCATTGCCTGTCAGTATGCAGGCCTGGACATAGAAGAATAAACATAAGAGACCTTAATTTCAAAACAACTAATGAGACTTGAGGAAATCATATGAAATATTTTACTTAAAGCTTTAATGGCATTTTTCACTAGTTTTAAAGATACAAAAAAAAAATTCTGATTGAAAAGTTCTGTTAAGTGTTCACAAAGAATCTCCCTAATATACAGTTTTGTAGTGAGCTACATTCCTTGCAACCACTTTCTTTCTTATGAATCATAGGAACTCTTTTAATTGCAATAAATCAAAGAGAGAAACATTCTTCACATATTAAAGTTACTGTCCGGCTAATACAAGAAAACCTCCAGGCACCAGATTCTTGTACGTGCAGTTACTGTGGTAATGAAAATAAGTCACTTTAAATAAGCATCGGGTAAACGGTTTCACTTTAGTGTAAGTTGAGAGAGGAAAGTCTCCCCCATTAAAAATTGTTTTACTCTAATTTTCATATTAGCAGAAAATGTCAGACTTTCAGTCGGGAGGAGTTCTCGTTATAGCTAGAGTCTGATCGTTCAAGTCAAACATAAATTAAACAAATCTGATTTGTTTTATTCTACCAAGTATTCAAAAGCTTTAGTATAAGTGGACGAAATCTACAAATGGAAATAAGAATATTACTCAAATAAATGGTCATCTGACTGTGAAATTGTGATAATTTGAGACAACAGCGGGGGAGGGTATCACAATCGTGACATCACACAATTTGATTAAAATAGAAACTTTCAAAATCATAACATAAAATAATTTCATTTTATTTTGTTTAGTACATTGATGCTGATTGAATCCTAGCAAGAATTTTAAATTAAAGGGAAATCTTTTTGGGCATTTGCACTTTATAGGAAAAAATAGTATATGTCATTTTCACAAAATTTGAACAATTTTAAGAGAGAAAGTAAGGTTGCCATTGTAAATTATTGTTGGCATTGTGCCTGATAACAATTTTTGGCATTGTAATTAGGTGCACATAAAGGGTGAGGTCTATTGGAGTATAAAAAAATATTATGACACATAAATAATTATGTTTCTTGTTAAAAAACTTAATTTTAATTCATAGAAAACATATACACTTTTAAATTTTGTAATTAAGCTCACAACTGTTATTAAAATGCATAGTTAAAATAGGAAATTAAATGTAAGATCTATAATTTATTGCTTTGTTATTTTAAACAAGTATATATTAATATAGTATCACATGGGGAAGGCAGGTGGTATGGTAAATTGCTACAAAAGAGAGGAGAGTTGTCAAAATGTTGGAAAAAAGTGTGACATAATTTAACTAAAAAATAAGACAAAAACATTTTTTTTTAAAAAATTAGTAAAGTAAACACAATGTTATCGGATCCCCTAGAATCTTCAACATTCAATGCTTAATCAAGAACAAAATAACAATAAAATAATAATAAATAATCATAATATAAAATAAATTATCTATTTTATCAATGAACGAGAACAATTTCAAAAATATATTTATTCTATTATTGGGTGGCTTAACACTTTAAAATGGCACAAACATGGTAGGTAGAAAAATACAATTATTTTTTTTTCTTCACAATAATAAATTTCTTCACATATAATAAAAGAGGGAAAAGTTGAAATAAATAAATTGCATAAAACTTGCCTCTACTTCCCTCCATTCTTCTTCGTCGAGAGCAAGAAAAGACTGGACGTGTCTTCTAGGCACTATTAAACAATGACCTTCAACAAGAGATTTAAAATCCCCAATGGATAAATAAACCTTTAAAAGAAAGAAAATAAGAATAATTGTTTCTGCTTCTTTGAAATATGCCATAAATATGTTTAAAATATACCATAGTAAAAACAAAAATGAGTTATTGAAAATAAATAGTAATTTGTTACTTTTTTTTTTTTAATTTTAATGAAACTAATGAAATTTTTATGAATTGTTAGAATGCAATATTTTATAAGACAATTTTTTTTTTAACTGAAGAGTTAAAAAGTTAATTATTCTAACACAGAATTTTTTTAATTAACTTATATAATTATTTTACATAATTTATTTAACTGATTTACTTTTTTATTTATTTATAATTTTAGCTTTTTTTTTATATTTTTGTGCATAAAAGCAATTGTGTAATATATTCAATTTCATTAATCTAACAACACAGAATTTACTTAATTTAATTATTTGAGTTATTTAACTTATATGTTTCTCTATTAAATATTTCTCTACATTTTTAGAAAAACAAAAAATTCTAAGGAATGATTCTATGATACTTGTGTTAGAAAAAATATAACGTAAATGCGAAGATTAAATCATTCCTGTTGAAACAAATCTTTATCCAGTACAGAATATCAAAATTAAGTTGATACAAAATTTATTTTTAGCAATAAATATACAGATTAAGGAGTTAAAATAAAAAAAGAGAAGAACTCGATGTATGTATGGTTATTCAAAACTTCAAAATCATTGCCTGATATTTTTTTTTTTAAAATATCATAAAATGTTATAGTTCAAAATATGACTTAAGACTTTCAGATTTATGTCCTTACTGTCTCTGATTCAAAAAAAGTTATTAAATTTTAATTACATTTTCTATCATGAATTTTTTGCTGACTTTGTTTTTCAACATTAATGATAAGAAAAAGAAATAAATAAAACATTAAAGTAAAATTTATAATGTTTACAACTGAACCAATTAAAATAAATCATTATAAATAGCTAAATATTTCATAAATTTGAAAATTACTATTCTAACAATTATGTTTAAACAATTATGTTATTCTTTGAAAACCACAAGGAAACAAAAGAGATAAAAATTAGTTTGAGAAAACATAATCGAGTTCACTCGATTCTTAAACCTAATAGTAATTTTTTTGTGAGAAAATCTTATTTATTTGCTACTGAAAAACACTTCAATGCAATATCTTTAAAAAGTCTGGATAAAAACAGTTTTCAAAACTTCAAAAAAAAAATGGCCTTTTTAAGAGAGAAAATATTTCTCTATAATTAGCATCAACTTTCCATTAGCTTACCCTCAATATTATGATTAATACAATATGCCATAAATATTAATTACCCTCAATATTATGATAAATATTATGATTACTACTAGAGACTGAAAATGATTTTCAGAAAAGTCAAAATATAGTTCCATTGGAAAATCACTTAGTGAAAATTATTTTCTTAATTAGTTACACACTCTTTGGCTTTTAAAAGTAAAAAAAATTTTAAAAAATATATCTTGTAAATATCATTAACATTAAAAATCGGAAACTATTTTATCTCACATTGGGGAAGAATCCAAGAATTATAACCCCCACAAGCAACCTGGTAAAGTACAGCAACATTGAAACAGAGGCATAGCTAAGGTTAACAGATCCGGGGGACAATTTTTGTTTTTGCACACCCCTTCTAATATGACTTCAAACTTAGGGGGCATGCTTTTAATTATAGATTTCTAAAATCACAATTTTTTTTTCAATATAATATAAATGGCAAAATATGCAATTCTAAAGAAAAATTTGTCATGCACTAGTACGATTTTGGCGATAATTTGTCACAATGTTGCCATGCTAGTGTGAATGAAATTTAAAAATTAAAATAAGAATAAATAAAATTGCAAATAATACCTTTTCAAGTTTTTGAATAATTAAATGTCTCTTCATATTTGGCTGATCCATACAATAACAGCATTTTTCAAGAGCTGACATATGCTTCTGATGCTCTAAAAACAAAAATTATTCTAATTAAAAGACCCAAAAACAATATGCAGTTCTTAACTGAAACAAAAAAGCATTTGATCATTAAATTTAGAGAAATAAGGAAAACAAGACAAAAAAACATTTAAATAAAAATAAACTGTGAGAGGATGAAATATTTTAGAATTAAGACAGATATTTAATTCTTAAAAAGTGTTTTCTCCACACAAAAATAAGCCTACTTTGCAAAGCATTTCTGGAAATAAAAAAAAATATATGTATACTTAATAATCATTGAAATAATTTTTTCAATAATTGATATTTTTTTTAAAAAAAATACTTAAAAGACAAACTTTCTCTAAAAGATAATATATTGTAAGCTGTATAATATTGTAAGCTGGAAATGAAAAACTAATATTAATCTTTTAGAATTGAAAAGTTTATTTTAATTTTTATAAATGATGAATTTTAAGAAAGTAAATTTTTTTTTTCAAATTTAAATATGAGACATAGTTAAACATATTATTTTTAGACAAACCAGAAAAAGGCATACTAATTAATTTAAAAGCTATGAACTTTGAAAAATGTTTCAAAAACACAAACAAAATTAAATATATTGAAATTTGATTCTCCCAAATTTGAAGATATCAAACAATTTCGTTTTCTTAAAAATCATACAATTTTTGAAATTAATTTTATTAATATTCGGTGAGTTTAATTCCCTTTATATATTCTTAGATGTCAAAACATTTCTTCCTAAAAATCATAACATTTTCGAAAATCAATTTTATTAATATTCGGTAAGTTTAATTCTCTTGATATATTCTTAGATGTCAAAACATATTTTCTCAAAACTGCATTTTCAGAGTTGATTCCACAGAATCTTAAAAAAGGGTTGTCCAATTGACTAACTTTATTTCCCTAAAGATTTTTAAGAATTTTTTAATCACTGATTGATTCTTCTTCAAACATTTTAATTACGTAAAGTTTTTCTAAATAAAGAAAAGTCTTAAAAAAATACTATGGTTACTTTAAAATGTCCATCAAAAGTAATGTATTAATTAAAGTAATGTAGTAATGCTAAATCAAACGTAATGTAGTAATGCAAATTAAATAATCATTTGTTATCTTTAGAAAAAAACACTATTAGATCTTATGTACATAGTTGGATAATATAGAAGCACGCCATGAGCGGAAATATTGGTGGTGATTCTACAATTTTGCAAATACTTCTTTAATATTTATTGTAACATAAAAAAAAAGTATCTAAGTGAGCAAAAAAAATTTTGCAGTGGAAAAAAAAGAAACGAAGAAGCAGACAGCGTTATCATGGCAAGGTAGAAGAAAGTCTGTTTTTAGTTGTATGCATCCTGCTCCCAATGAGAAAAGATATACAGTAGAGCGCCGATTATCCGAACTGCTCGGGACCGAACATGGTTCGGATAATGAAAAGTTCGGATAGTTGGAAAGTTGCTTAAAATCTAGTTTAAATGATTATTATTTATGCACTAACTTCCCTTCNGATGGATTATTCTTCAAACATTTTAATTACATAAAGTTTTCCTAAATAAAGAAAAGTCTTAAAAAAATACTATGGTTACTTTAAAATGTCCATCAAAAGTAATGTATTTGCATTACAGTTTCCAGAGAAAAAAATTAAGCAAATTAAATAATCATTTGTTATCTTTAGAAAAAAACACTATTAGATCTTATGTACATAGTTGGATAATATAGAAGCATTCCATTATTTTCCATTGCAAAAGAAATCCAGCAAAGATCTCGTTTCAAAGAAGACGCGTTTTTTTTTTAGCAGCCATTTATCACTTATTCTTTTTAAATAAATCAACATCATTGTGACGTTCCAGCCAATTCATTGCGAAATCTAATGGATTCTATATGAGAAGGTCCACTATCTTGAACTTGATCACCTACTTCTTTCACTTCGTCTGTAGAGTTCCGATTTTCATTCAAAATTTCAGCAACAATTTCATGCGAAAGATCTACTGGTTCAGAAACTTCAGTTTTGTTTGTTTCTCTGTTAAGAATGTTATTCCAAGATTTAAGATTCCAAGCACTGTAATCACTAATTATTAACCATAAGTTACAACTACCCATTCCCCAATTATAGAACTTCAGAACTTATCAATTCATAAACTCCTTTTGCATTCCAACCATTGTGGACTATCAAAATGAAGCTCGCATTCTTGGAAGATAATTTTCTGTTGTAAAGGGGTATGTAGGGGGTTTAACTGTATCACAATACATGTATGTCTGGCTACTATAAGAAAACTGCTAAAAAGGTTGCAAATTAAATATGGTCATCAGATGTTTATTGTATTATGGTTGTTTATTGTTATGGTATTATTTATTCTTCTCAATTAAGAAAAATTGTTGATAGGTTAATAAGTATTCGAAACTCGAATTCAGACACTGTTCGGATAATTGGACTTTCAGATAATAAGGGTTCGGATAATCAGCGCTCTACTGTAACTGCCACTTTAGCCCAAAGATTAACGATCCCAACATTAGCGGTAAAGCCTACACTCAACCGATTTTTTATAACTGAACCCAACGTGACTATAGCTATACAACGAAAATAGGAGGGCGATTGCGGTGACAGAAGAAAATCTTTTAATGCAATTTCGCTTGGTGCGAAATTACTTTAAATGAATGTAGTTATATGTATAACTATTTAATAGCTGCCAACATTGAGTTTTCAAAAAAAAGGAAGATATTAAAAGCTGTAAAACTTCAACGTATTTTTTCTCCTGAACTCAATTAAATTTAAAGATTTTAGGAAAATTAAGAACACTTAGAGACATCAATTTTAATTATATTTCAAAGTTTGATATGTGCACGATTTTGTTTTCTTTAAAAAATTTTCATCAAATGTTACATTGTAGCAATTTTGATTTTTGCAAAAATAATCAGCTTGTAATACTTTCTCTAGCATCTCATCACTAAGAGATGAACTAAACTGTGTTCTTGTTTTTTAACTTGACTGAACACACGTTCACATTCTGCATTTGAATGTGAGAAAGATAACATAAATTTAGCATGCTGATAATAATAAGTTTTTTTACACATCATAAATTCAAAAATAATAGCAAACTAAAAAGATTCAAAAGAAGCAAAAATACCATGAAGTGTAGGATCCATGAAAAATACGCACGCGATTTTTCACGATAGTAAACATTCGCTCTGTTGCCAGATGCCATCAACTGAATTTGCTTAAAAAAATTCATCCACGTTCGGTAGCCGAGCGAAACATTTTCTCCCGGATCTATTTTTAGGGAGCGTTCTCACCGCCAATCAGATTCGGAAACGCAGCTGCGCTACCGAGTTTGTTTCAACTTCTGCGTCGTAACTTTGATTTTTTTCCCTCGTTCGAGCACATGCCGAGAAGATGCAAGAATTTGATTCCTGCTCTAAAAAATGTGTTCGGGTACAAATTCGGATCGCGGCTCTGTTGTAAAAAATATAAAATAAAATGGAGAAAAAAATAATTTTTTTTTTAAATCGAGGAAAATCGGAAGATTAAAATAAAAAACCGGAAGGCGGAAATTTCGATAAAAAACCGAAAATCTTCGGGCTAGTGAGAGTTGGCAGCTTTGCATTAATATTAATCTTTCTCTAATGTTCTTAATGTTAATGTGNAGTTTGTTTCAACTTCTGCGTCGTAACTTTGATTTTTTCCCTCGTTCGAGCACATGCCGAGAAGATGCAAGAATTCGATTCCTGCTCTAAAAAATGTGTTCGGGTACAAATTCGGATTGCGGCTCTGTTGTAAAAAATATGAAATAAAATGGAGAAAAAAAAATTTTTTTTTTAAATCGAGGAAAATCGGAAGATTAAAATAAAAAACCGGAAGTCGGAAATTTCGATAAAAAACCGAAAATCTTCGGGCTAATGAGAGTTGGCAGCTTTGCATTAATATTAATCTTTCTCTAATGTTCTTAATGTTAATGTGCATGCATATATATATATATATATATATATTTTTGTCAAGAATAAATAAAAAATATTAGATAATTAACTGTTTTCGTATTATTAAAAAGTTGCTATTAAAATTATAAAATTATTCTATTCTGAAAAACATTATGAGCTTGCAACTACTTTTGAATTGCGAAAGCAGAAACTTTATGTTTTTATCTTACTATGCTTATGTATCATTCTGTGTTGTGCACACTGTACAGCATTAGACAGCAATAAATTATTAAAGATCAGAATTTTAAGAGTTTTCTTTTAAATGAAATGGAATTTAAATTTTTTTTTAGCAGGACTGCATATTGTCTTCGAGTAGTAATATTATAACATTACTTACGCTGAATAGCTTTACCGACATCTTTCTCTTCTTGAAGATGATGTGACATCTTATTTGTAGCCTTCTTGGATATGCCGCTAGTTTCATTGTCCTCATCCATATCTTGGCACTAATTGAAAATTTTAAATTAAAAACACGGTGCGTAGCCAAACCTTTCAACAAAAAATAACCACCTTTTAAGTACTTTTTAAACACTCAAATATTTTTTAGCACTATATACATTAATAAAATGCAACATAATTTTCAAAGACTTTACGTGATCATCATGAAATAACTAGTTTCAGACAAAGAACTTTTTTCTTGATCATATTAACCATAGCTTGAGAGATTTTTCGATTGGATTTCAGAGGGAGCAAAATGAAACCTGAAATTGAGAATATCTTGCAAAATGAAGCAGAGTTGCACATGAGAGTGCAATAATCTCACCGAACCCAGCTCAATAGACGCACGTGCAGACTCGCAAGTATTTCATCAAACATGTAAAATGATTGACACTTTCATACACTATGGACAGACGGTATGCTGAAATAGATTGTTCACTGAATTGTGAAGACGTTAAATAGAACAATGTGAAAAGCACGCTTTTGCATAAATTATGGCAAGAATCGACATGATAAAGAAAAGAATCTCATTTTCTGAAAGGGAAAATTAAGCACTGAGGCCAATATAATCATTAACCCATTGCCAGTGTCGCCAGAATCCAGTTCGGACAACTACTAAGTGCAGTATTTGTGATGCCCGAACTGACTTCAGACAGGAGAAAAATTAATGTTTCTATTTTGTGAATCCCGAGCTGAGTTCGTTTCTACTTTAGGATACCTAATTCACTATTTTCCTAATAGATGGCAACAATGGTCCCAGTTTTTCACCGATTATGACTTCAGTTAAGGGAGGGAAATGTGGGTGGGAGTTTGGGGATATACCTTACTGTGAAAGATTTGTAACATTTATGTATTGAAAATCATATTGTTGTGTTTTTATATTATATTATACTAGTTATGTTTATCTTTAAAATTTTGTTTAATTTGCTCTAATTGAATAAGATGTGTGTGTAATCCATTACTTTTTTATGTGTATGTAAAAATTATTAATACTGTAGTTATTGCATTTAAAATTTTATTTTCGTAATAAAAAACCATTTTCTAACTTTTCTAATAATATTATAGCATACAAAATTAAACAGTCAAAAAAATTTTCCATTTTTCTGAAATATATGTCACTGTTAAGGGGTTAATGTGAAAAATTTGCATTTTTGACATTGCTTTTTAAAACATTTATTTGTTGAATTAAACAAATTTGGATTATTTATTGAATTGAACTAAAATTTGAATAAAATATTGATGACTTTTCTAAACATAAATAAATAGTTACATCTGTGATTTGGGAATTGTCCTTTATAGACTTAAGAGACTTAAAAATACTCAAGGAATAACAAATTAAGGAGTTAGCAAAGAAATAAAAAATTTCCCTCTAAAGCAATGAAAATTTGAAAAATGCATTAACCAACTCTTGTCCAATAAATAAGACATGAAATGTTAAAAAAAAAAAAAAAAATATTACTTTCAATTTTGTTAAAAAAATATATATATATGTTTTAGTTTTGAAAGTATTTTTAAAAAAACAGTAAGCAAAACATTTTTAATAGAACAGAAATTAAAGACTTTTTAACTGTATAGGTAATGATACCTTTTAAAATTTTTTACATCTTATTTAATTATTTTAAAAGTGATTAAAAAAAATTATACAGAAATAATCAACTTAATTTTTGCATTTGCTATAGACCAGAATTTCTTAAACTGTGAGTTGTAATCCCAATCAGGATTACGGGACCAGCAACAGGGATCACCAAAAATTATAGCAGCTTTGATATTTCTTTAAATACTAATATTATTGTATTATACATTAAATTTGTTATTTGTTTAAAATTTTTACATTGTTCTACATTTTAAAATTAAAAAGTAAAGTTAATGACTTAAAATAGTACATAATAATAAGAAACTAAATAATACGAAATTGACTGTTTCACTCGCACACATATTGGATTTGCACAATGTTTATGAGGTCCCAGAAAATTTTCAAATATATTATGAGATCCCTCTATCAAAAAGTTTAAGAAATTTTGCGATAATTATAAAATTGCTAACAATACAAAATTTAGAATAACAAAATTTAAAATAAAAAAAAGATTTTAAAAAATAAAATTGTTAATAATGCAGAATTTCTTTAAGATTGCAATAAGAATGAAAAAGTAGAAAAACATGTACAATAAAATAATTAAAAGAATGTGTTTGAAAAAACTTTTAAGGGACAATTTTCAGTGCAGCATTAGTTAATGATTTACGACAAGTTAGTTAAAATTAACAACAGTTAGTTTAACAACAGAATTTCAGAACAAGTCAGAAAATGTAGCATTTGTAAAATTTTTGAATTCCTTCAAATAATATCGCCACATAATAATAAAACAATTGATTTTAATAAGAATGACTCAGATAGCAAAATAGACTTTTGTTAAAATGATAAAAATAACTTTATGAATTAGTCAGTGATTTCTTAATCAATTACATCAAAAAATGTAATATACCAACACCTAACCTCAATCTTGATCAACCCATGGATTTAAAGTTTCAGTTGATTAATTTTTTTGCATTTTCAAATGTTTTCAGTTATGTGGTCATTTTTTAGCATCCTCATAAATATTACAAACAATAAATAAATGATTTTAAGAAATTAGAAAAAGGAGAAAATATTTTTAAAAAAAACATTTGCTAAATTGTTTTAAATTACTAATTTTAAATTATAAAAAAAGAAACATTTACTAAATTCAGTAAATGCTCATCATTTACTAAAAGTAAATGATGATCATTTTTTTAAAAACATCTATGTAAGTAAATAAGGGGGTAAAGTAAATATTCAACCTTTCCTGCTACTTCCATGAACATTTCAAGATTATCATCAGCCGTTGTCAATTTTTCTCTTTCAAACTGTAAACAAGAGACAAAATAAATTATTTAAAAAAATCATAATAAGTAAACTGTAAACAAGAGACAAAATAAATTATTTAAAAAAAAATCATAATATGTTTTTTAAAAAAAAAAGCAACACAACAAAAATCGACCAGTGGCTAAATATTTATATGGTCTCAATTATATTTCAAATAGTATAAGATTTAACATAAGCAATAAACTGTTTTAAGCAAACCACTAAGTAAGGTATTAACTTATTATGACTTAAGTATTAATAAGTTACAGTTTTCAGTTCAATATACCAAATGTTACCCAAAAAAATTTAATTACAGTTTTCCATAACTCTTATATCAATGAGAATTATTTTATACTTAAAACTTCTAAAATAAGTAAAACCATTAAAAAAGTTTACCATTTGTTTTAATGAATATCTGCTTCCATCATCAAAGAACTTCTGTGATTGTTTTTTCTAAGAAAAAAAGGACAAAACAAATCAATTTAAAAAAGTACATAGTCCAGTTCATAAAACTATAAAAATACTGATAACAATGCAATGAAATAAGTAACCCAAGCCTAGAATACAAAAAATAACCTAACTTATAACCATAAATAGATTAACCTTTACCTTAACCTTTTTACCTTTTAATTAAACCTTTACCTTTGATAACTAAATATAACCTATCTTATAACTTAATCCTAATAGATAAACATAAACTAATTTAAAACTTAACTCTAGATAACTTAAATTCAATCAAGATTATATTCTATAACTATACATTCAACTCACTGAGTGCAAATTACAAAAATACTTATTTCTATATTTCTTTGATGTTAAAAAAACAACATGCTTGAAGAGAAATATGTTTAAATATTTTTTGTAAAGATAAGAGATAAAATATAATCTTAGTAATCTTTTGGGATCTTCCAAATATCAAAACTTGGAAAACTTGGATAGTCTGTTGAGAGTTGATACAGAAAAGTTACAGAACAAAAATATTCAATAAACTAAAAAGAAAGCTTGAAGAAAGGAATGATGACTTTTCATATTAAATCTTGACCTCTCCAACCAAGGAAGATACACCTGGTAAACTTATAAGATGTTTTAACTTCTTATATCTAGTATCTTACTTTATGTGATAATGATTACCATGGTGAAAAATCTTAAAAGGGGAAAGATAAACAAATTGCTTTCATTGTTTAGATTGAAGAGTGTCATAATGCTTAACTATGCTTGAAGGAAAAGGCGAAATTTGCCCAACTTAAAAAGCATTAGATGTTTCGAAGCAGTCTGTAACAGCACTTTACTTTGAACAGTTGCTAAAGCAACTTTGCACTTTTGGAACAATTTGGAATATTAGATTTATATTTAGGGTGACCTTTGGAACAATAATTTAATTCTATCCAGAATTGTGATTAGAAATCAAGTTTATATTAAAACAGGAAAAACTAATTTATCAATGTTACAAACTACATTCAAATTACTAATTTCTCACTTATGCAACTAAAAAAATGCAGATATTTTGCAGTTTCTAAAGACAAAAACTGTTGGTATTAAAGCAAGTTGAAGTCAGATTTGGCAAGATCTTTTGTAACATATTTATTTTATGAAGTTGAAACACAGCCGGAATAAATTAATGCAGGAATGGAATGAATTGAAGCAATTTTGCTTAAGACATATCTAAAACTGCAACAAAAAAAACAAGAAAAGAATCTAAAGAAGAAAAAAATTACATGGCTTATACTAGGCACCATTTGTGAGTGGTATCGCCCTGCTTTCCCATTAGCTTCATGCTTCTCAATCCTAATTATGAACCAAATATATTTAAAAATGATAAGAAAACTGTTGTTTCCCCACTGTGTTTTTAATCATGTGTATTTTTAAATTTTGATACTTTTAGTACAATTTTATTATGACACATGAATTTTGAATTTGAGTTATCATTTCATTAATTGCTTAATTTGCGACAATTTCATCATAAATCCATATGGAATTTCAGAGTTGCTAGAATTTATTACACCTCACAATTGTTGTAAAAATAAAATATTGAAATAAATTTCAAGCTAAAGACTATTTCTATTAGATTGAATCACACTAAGATATTAAAATAACCTATTTCTTTTCTCAAAATTTTAATTTAAAACTTTATCGCAATTTTTGAGTTTCATGATCAAGAAATCATATAATTATTTTATTTAATTTTTATACTGTTTAGTGGGTAATAGAAAAAGCTAATAGAAAAATAGAAAGCTAAATATCAAGCTAATAGAAAAAGTCTTTAGCTTCAAGGAAATTAAATTTTATTTAAAGGTTTTTCTTGTTTTGAAATTCATCATAATTTTATAACCTGGTGAAGGCTTTGATTCATATGATTATCAGGTTCAAAATGATAATAAAGAAAACCTTTCTACAGTAAAAATAACAGACTAAAAGCACTAAAACTAACAAGTTAACTTACTGTTTGTTTAGATTGGGACTGAGAAACATCCCTTGAATAATGAATAGGTCGCTCCTGTCCACTGCTGTCCATCTTGGTCAGCATAACACTTTCTCTTTCTCTCTGTGATGAATTCATACTTCCACCAGCTTTTAAAACTTTTCTAGCCTCTTCAAGTTGCTTCTTGAGTTTAGAGGCTAGAGCTGTGTCACCAAACAACTCTGCTTTCGTACATTTAGCTGCCAGCTTGTTCAGATCATCTTCAGACATGACTGTTGGAGGAAGGTCATGTGATTCAGAAGCTTTTTCATTAGAGTGACTCTCCTCTCCTACTTCAAGTGAATTTTGAGGAGACTCACATGCTGAAATTTAAAAAAAAAAAGTTTTATGCAATGAAATTAAAGAAAAAAAACTGTATTCAGAAAGGTCCTGGGTTCGAATCTCGAACAAGGCATGGATGTTCTTTCAGTCTCTGTACTATCTGTCCTTACTGTCCATCAGCCCACTTACTATGGTGCCCCTGAAAGAGTGGCCCACAAATCTACCCTACTAATAATACCATAATGACAAATGTCAATCTGGTAAGCATTGGAAAAAAAAATTTCTAAAACACTGACAGTAAGAAGATTTTAAATAAAAACTGATAAATTAGACACTGAATTTATCCATTTTAAGTTCCTTCCAAGAATAAATTAAAATTGGGAAATGTTGCTACAGACTAGACGCCAGTTATAGCATTTTTAGAAGTGGTTACTAATTCAAAAATTAAAATTTTTAAAACATTAAAAAAAATTTTGATCATAATAAAAGGTATTTTCTTTGAAGCATTTCTCAAAATATGGTAAATATTACAAGGTTCATCTCTAAAATGAAGAAAAAATTTTACGAAACGAGCATGAAACAAAATAATTTTCAGAGTATTATATAATATACATAATAAATACATATTTATTTTTTAAAAAATAATAAAAAGTACATAGAATGCATTTTTAATGAAAAAAAGTAGTGATCTATCATTTAATCACAATCAATTTGTTATATTTAGTTACCCTGTGACTGGTGGCAACAGTTTTTTCCTTTTTTTTTACCCTCTGCTTCCAAGCCTTAATGCATATAGCAATAAATAAGTGTTAAAGAATATTATTCTAAGAACAGTTTTAAAAGCAAGTTAGCAAAACCGATCCTTTCAGAAAGATAAAAAATTATATCAAAATGCATCTGTACCTTTGAATGTAAGAATCTTTCGGAAATTGAATTACATTATTTTGTTCTTTAACTCCAAAAATAAATTTATAAATTTTATTAACTTATAAATTTACATTATAAATTTTAAAAAGAAAAAAAAATGCTTCAGTCAATTAATTAAAAAAAGGCTACACCCTCATTTTGCTCATTGATTCCCATAATTGCTATGCAATAAATTTTATTTTTGATAATTGTGTTGCAAACTAAAAATTATTATTCAGTTAAAATATTATAAGTATTAAAAGCTTTTTTTGTTTTACAATTAAACTTTTTTGAAACATGAAAATTATCAGAAGAGTTTTTATTTACGTAAACTTTTTTATTAAAAGTATTTTTTTATCTGGCCTGAGGAAGCTATACCATGGAAGAAATTTTGGATGGCAAATTCTCATTTGCTATTAAAATTTAAAGCACTGAAAAAATGAGTTCATGTAAATCTAGAGTTGCAAATACAGTACAGAACCTGTTATCCGGAAATCAGAAAACCGGAAAACCAAAAAACTGGAACAAAATTCTATAAATTTTTCCGTCATTTAAAAAAAAAAAAAAAAATTTCCTCATAAGATTATAAGATTTTTCTTTCGTTTTTGAAAGATGTTTACCTTACCATCATTTTGGAAATGATCATTAGTGTATTACTTAATCGTTTTATCTTCTTTTTAAGATTATTTCCAGATATTTGTTTTTTCAGTTGGGTTTAACAATAAAAAAACGGCTTTTTGTAGCGATTCAGAAAATCGAAAAAATCAGTTATCCGGAATAGCGATGGTTCCGGATAATCGGCTCCCTACTGTATTGAAAAAAATGTTCAAAATATCCAATTGCAAACAAATTAAGGCAGGATCACTTATCGTGCAACAATTTGTTTGATATTTTGAGAAAAAAAATTTCAGCATTTGAAACGACATCCTTTGCTTTAGGTTTATCTAAACTCACTTTTCTTTTAACTTTAAATTCCGGTGAAACAGAATTTCCAATAAAATTTTTTACCCTTGGTATAGAATCCAGTTCAAAACCTTAAGCTCATTGGGCCTGAACCCATTTAAAAAAATTAAGATGGCTAAAGAAATAAGTGCTGTTTAGGGTTAACAGAAAGTTTATTTACCCTTTTTCCACTTAGGAACATATTCATCTTGTTTTCTTGAACTTTGTCTCTCATCACTAGGTTTTATTTTTTTCCATGCCGGTATTTCTCTTCTAGTATCACTGGATTTAAACTTTTGCTCTGGGGACTTTTCATATTCAGATTTTGACACTTTATCATGGGATGAATAAGATTTGCTTTCTACACGATTATCTTTTCCACTGTGAAAAGTTGATTTTCGATCCCACACAAAAACATTTTGATCATCCTCTTTAAGATGCTTTTTCCCATCATCCTCAACAGCATCCCTTTCCCTATCATAATCTTTATCATGCTTTTTCCTATCATATTCCTTGGAATGCCTCATTCTATCACTTGCTTTGGTATATCTATTTCTATCATTATCATCATCACTTTCATATTGAAAATCATTATCATATTTTCTATGACGCTTCTGATCGGAACTTTTGAAATGACCTAACCTCTTATCCTTACTGCTGATATGTCTTGGCTTTTGAAACTGGTATGATTTTTCAGGGCTATGACTTGGCGACCTTTTCTCTCTTGGTCTACGAAACTCTACAGATTTAGAGTCTCGTCGGTCACTCCATTTATCCTTATTTGAACTATATTTATTCCTTGAGTTGTCCTTCATTCTACTTTCAGCATCATCAATTAAAGATTTCAATTTGTCTAAGGACTGAAATATAAAAAGAATTAGAAGCATACAATAGAGCACTTTTTAACAACATTATCTTTTAAAAAAAACTAATTGATTATATTCAGGAACATAGTGGCATACCCACCATCTCTTTCGGATTTTAAGGAAGATTTTATTTTTATATTCAATGTGGCAGCAAACTTTTTACAAGTTTCATTCTCATATTAACATATTTGATTTAATATACTTTTAACTATCGCTACATTCAAATAGTTTAAACACGCATAATGAGGAATAGCTAGTTATTTTGTTGCATTTTAAGCGTGGGGAGAGGCATATCGACAATGTCAACATTCATCTATGAAAAGGTATTCCGACATACAATCGAATTAACATGTCTTATATACAAGTGAATTGGAATTGTATTTTTGTAGTGGTAGACACACTACAGTACTCCCGAATCAGAAATATATCTGTGATAGAATTCGAGGAACGGATACCACCAGTCGATTCATTGCTGTTTTGTGAGAAGCCGGGAGAGCTGTATTAAGATCACCGGACTTTTTAAATGCTGATCGTGACTAAGTTTACAGTCGCTCCTGTGTTGCCATTAGCAGCCAAGTGTATACAGGTCGACATTGTGTGTGATCTTGACTGAGTAGCAACGGCACCAGGAGGTGGAGAGGTGGATAATGTCGCAGTCACAAGTAGCAAGTCAACTGTTCAATGGGGAATCCGTTGAAATAGGCGTGTTAAAATGCAAGTGGGCATTTCTGTCAAGATAGGTGTGTTCACATCACGCTCAAAGGTCACAAATGTGGGGAGAGGCATATCGACAATGTCAATATTCATCTATGAAAAGGTATCCCAACATAGAATCGAGTTAAAAAGGTCTTATATACTAGTGAATTGGAATTGTATTTTTTAATGGCAGACACTACATTAAGTGATGGAGATAGGGGAATTAAATAGTTGAAAACAATATCCTTTCACTACCACTAAGAGAATTCTTTTTTTTTTGGAGCAAGTACAAGTTGGTGGATATATAGTGGAGTGGGAATGCAAGTGAATTATGTTTTAGTACCCTCTAATGAAGTAGAACATTGTTCCGGAACTTTAATGAACATATTACAATTTTTACTTTATAATCTGAATGTAATTTGATAAAAAAAATTAATATAATCCTCTCGTCATACTAACTAGTTGAAGGCTCACTTTGCAAACTGTGTATACAATCCACATTTCTATTTTTATACAGCTATTATGATATTTCATTCCTTTATAACTATTTTTTGGAATGGTGATTAAAGGTGGTTAATAAAGAAGAAAACAACATTTTAGTATTAAAATTATTTAAATTGTTTAAAGCAGTTCAAAGAAAAAGTTTCATCAATTAATAATTTGTGAATCTGTAAGCTCCTACTTATTATTGAGTTATAAGAATGAAAAGGAAAAATCAATTTAAAAAAAGCATTTTCACAAATACTAACAATACAACACTAACTTTTGCAAAAAATAAATAAGTGCATGTTGTTTTCAAGCAGCTTAGATTACAATAGGTGTTGCTTCCCCGTCCCAAAAGAAATTCATATTTTATCCAAAACTCTTAGAAATTGTCAAAAAATGTTGAATAATATCAAATCTTTGTAACTTTATTTATTGGGAAATGAAAAATAACAAACGTTACGAACACATATCAGGAAAGAAAAAAAAAGCTTGCAAGGTAAGTGTTGGCAAGGTTTTTGACAGGATAAAATCTACTGTAAATATCAGGGACTTTACAATAATGTTCAAAACATTTTAAAACTATAAAAACATAATATCGACGGTCCATGGCTAGATTTTGTATAACTTACCATTAATTAACAAAAAAAATCGAACAATCAGTAATAAATTATTATAAAAAGATTAACAAATTAAGAACCAATCATTAAATAAATTTAATAAAAAAGCAATTGAATTTTTTAAAAAAGGTATAGTACAGTACTGTCAATCTTTAACTGTCCAAAACAATGTTTAATATAACAAATAACAATATTAAACAGTTACGAAAATGGCAAAAAAGTATAACAGGAAAAATATACATAAAGCATATATCAATTGAACCGTAATTTTTAATTGGGGATCTGGTCTTTAAAAAGTATTTTAAAAAATAAATAGTTGTTTCTGTTAAAACTCTTCAAATTTATAATTATTTGGTATACATATACATAATTTATAAATAGTTGTACAGATGTTATTTGAGCTTATGCAATAAATTTAAGTTTATTAATATTATCTAAAAATTGCAATGAATTTAAGTGAACAGTGCTTATACTTGAAGTTATAAGAGTTGTAACTCATTTTCAGAATTATGTGCGTTGATTTTGGGCACTTTAATACTAAATACACTTTTGGACAGTTTAATACAGTCCAAGTCTTGTCTTAAACCAGTTTTAGTATTCATGTTGCAACCTGTTGTGCTTAAGTGGATTGTGATGATTAAGAATCCACAATTTCATGACCAATGGCATAATGGTAACCATGTGGTTAGCATTGCACACTTATTGCCTCTACTTCCCACAAAAACTAGTACCCATGGATCTGAAATTAAATGGGCTTTAAGCTGAGACAAAATCCCAGAACTTTAATAGCCAGATTCGGTTATCTAGTTTTGATTCTGACAAATGATATAACAAAGGGTGAATGAAATAAATTTGTAATTTTAGTGCTCATAAATAAATGAAACCAATTTTACTTACACCCCAACGTTCAACAGCAATTTCCTCCATCGATCTACCTTCTTGTTGTGATTGCTCTTGAATTCTATAGTATGCTTTCTTCAAATAACTATAACCACCATCACCAACAGAAGTAGAAGGTAAAGCCAAGTTCTGGACAGAGGAGCTATCATCTGGCAGTCCACTCCCATTCTTTCTCAAATAAGGGTTCAACTCACGCTCATTCTGTATTGCCTTTAAAAAAAATATATCAGCCACTTTGAATTAATCAATAATATAAGAGATCTATAGTAAGATAAAAACATAAAGTATCTGCGCACACAATCCAAAAGTATTTGCAAGCTCATAATATTTTTTGATAATAGAATAATTTTGTTAATATACGAAAATAGTTAACTATTTAAAGTTTTTATTTATTCTTGACAAAAAAACATATATATATACATGCATATAAATTGTAAGAACATAAGAGAACTGCAGTCATATAAAATTATTATCATATCAAGTAATATTAGTAATTTAGCTCCAAACAAAATACCATTAAAAGATTTCCTACAGTAAGTCACCGCAATAATTTATTATCGTTGTAAAGCGATAGTCGCGTCAAGTTGAATTGTAAAAAACTAGCCGTTTGTATGCTCGACCACTAACTGTGGGATTGAAAATCTTTGGGCTATAGTGGCATTTATATCTTTTCTCTCTGGGAGCAGCGTGCATACAATTAAACACTGACTTTCTTCTACTTTGCCTAAACCATGATTACATCGTCTGCCTTGTAATTTCTCCCCCCCCCCACAGCAAACTTCTTTTTCTTCGCCTGCATGGATACCTTTTTTATACTATAGTAAATATTAAAAAAAGTATCTACAAAATTGGAGAATCACCACCAATGTTGTGCCCATGTGCATCTATATTATCTAACGATGAAAAGATCTATTTAGAGCACAGATTGCAAAGGCAACAACTCTTAACCATCTGGTGCCATCCAGAATGCCATTCGGTGACATTTATGTCAGTCTATCTCCAGCCACTGAACTGTTAGGTTGTCATGTCTCTAAGAATAGTAAATGTTTTATTTTATTCTTAAAAAATAACTTTTTATTCCTTTTAAGATGTTATGTTTGCATTTCTCTGTGAGTGTTTATAGGTACTCTATTCTATGTGCATTCAATAAATTAAATAAGAGCTAGTTATAGCCTTCATTTACAGCTTGAGCAGTTAAAATAATACATTATCTTAAAAAATATATTATCATAAACACAGTTCTAAATTAACATTTTAGAAAAAGCATATATCTGAAACAATTAAGCGAAGATTTAAAAAATTACACTTAATTTATGAAGTCCCATAATTTGCAAATTGATCAAAAAATGTATATTTAATATCAATATTTAACATTGAATCAGTGATGAAAGTACATAGCATATATTTTTATAATCAATCTATTAAGTCAATTTTAATTTATAATTACTATAATTTCTTTTTTTTAATTTCCTTTTTTAGAACTTCAATTAGTAAGGTAACAGTGTGACAGAAAAATAAAATAAAACTGCATTGAAGCACATCAGCTAAATATTCAATAAGAAGAAATAACAAATACCAATAAACTAAATTTTTAATTTTAAAAAAGGTTGTAGCAATTAAAAAAAAACTTGTTTAAAAAAAACTGACGGTTCATAAAAACTCAGTGTTATGCAAACTAAAAAAAAATAATAAATTAATAATTTTAAAAATCTGTTAAGAGATTTCAACTACTTAAAAAATATTAAGAACATTACATCATTTTTTTCTCTTTCTTTAGCTAAGGCATCCAGTTTCCTTTGGCGAGAGCTCCTTCCGTGTTTCATTTCTTCTTTGCTCAAAGTGGCAACAAACATTTCCTCATTCATCCAATCATCTCTCTAAATCAGTAAAAGAAAATAGCAAGCTAAAATTTTATTATATCTACAGCAGATACCATCCAGACCAAAAACGATTTCTGCTAAGAAAAGACCTTAATGAAATTTACTTAAAGCCTCCTCTACTTAAGAGGTAGAACAAAATATTTGAAATATCTAATACTATAAACTGTTTTAATTAAGCTATGTTATTAATGTGATGGTTAAATAAATACATAATAATAAATTATTTTAAAATCATAATGCTTTTTATTTGTAGCAATGGCCTTGGTACATGAACTTAGTTACTTCTAACTTGAGATATTCAAAAACATATTTATCATGTTGAAAAATAAAAAGCAACAGCCAATTGTGGGCCAGCTTAATATTATGATGTACAGCACAATAAGGCAATGTGGTCAGCAATATGCACCTACAAGCAAAAAGTAATAAACTATGGAGAAGTGTCAGTGCTTTTTAAAATAAACTAATGTTAATGTCAAGTTAATAGAGAGTCCACTAATAAAAGATTGTATAAAATGGTTAATTTATAGAAGACTGTTGGGGATTTTGAAAATTTTATATAACGAGAGGTGTCCACCAATGAAGAAGTGTCTATAAGCTATTATTTCGCTGTACCTCAATAAAATTCAAAATTATTACCTTTATCAAATAGAACTGTTTTTAAAAAAAATATTAAATACAAAATCTGCTGATAAAATAAAAAATTTTATTATTTTTAAACTAAAGTTATTAAGTAAAAAACTAAATCACTAAGCTGCAACACCTAAAAATCTTGAATACATGGAAAAGTATCAATGAAAAAATTCTTGAGTATTACCCACATACAGTCTATACTCAATAGTACAACCTCTAATAACAGTGAGGTCACTTTCAAAGGATAACTTTCCCTGAAACCTATACACTAAGTCTCATTTTCTAATCCACAGATGCAATGTTTAGCACCCATTAGAACATTTGCAAGGCACTCTTCTTTCCAATAAAACAACCAAAATTAAGTTTAATTTCTTTCTTTTTTTTAATGAAAATTACTTCAAAAACCAGTGTCAAACATTATTGCATTTTCAAAACAAAATTCTTTCCTAGACTATAGGATTTAGCAAAAGTTTCAAGGAAGTTAATTAAATCCCTATGTCTTTTCATATTACATATTAAATGAGAAACATATTGAAAGAAGGAAGTCCTTCTCTACCTCTTAGTAATAGATTTTTTTCTTAGGTGTTCAAGTCTAGTATTTTTTAGTAATCAGGGTGCACAGCCAGAGTTTTCAACAAAAAATAAGTACCTTTTAAGTACTTTTTAAGCACTCAAAAATATTTTTAATCACTTTCCAAAAAAAAAAATCATAATTAGGATCTGTGCAGTAATAAAAAAAAAATTTCTATCGTTTAAAATTCGTAATTTATAAACATAAAATCAATAAAATTTAAAAACATTTTCAGAAACTTTACTATCATGATCAAATAAACAGTTTCTGATAAATATTGCAGAGAAAATTGTGAAAATCATGCATTTTTTATAATTTAGAACTACAATCAACAATGCAAAGAAAAAAATTTCTTCTTAAAAGATAAAAAATTAAGCACTTTTTACAAACTCCTTTAAAAAAAAACTTTTAGGGCTTTTAAAAAGCGTAAATAAAAAAATAAACACCTTTAAGCACTTTTCAAAAATGCTATGCACCCTGGTAATGAATATATTTTTATGGTAGTTTTACGCAATGACACTGCACTATAACATTGGTAAGTTGGTATGCATTTAGGTTACATAAAGCAACAACTGTATTTACAATTAAAAACAGAAACAAAGAAATTAACGGATAACTTTGAAAATTAAAATTATTACATATATAGTTACCTTTAAGTAATTGAAACATAAGCACTTGCTTTTTGCTATACAATGTTGCAAGTTTAATTTTTTATGATAAAAGCAATAGAATTAAAAAAAATTGATTTAAATTTCGAACTTTTTTTTAGTCAAACTAAAAAATTATGCAACGTTAATAAATATATTATAAAAATAATGTGATATAAGATACAATTTCTATTATAACAATTTAATACACATATAGTTACAAAGAAAGCGACTTTCAATAGCAACAACCGTCAGAAAAATATAAAAGTCATAGTATACTAATTTTTGAACAAAATAAAATTAAGTAATAATTTTCAAGAAACTTGATAACAAATACTAAATATTTCAAGGGGGAAAACATACTTTACATTCTATTTTTGAAGATTCAGATTCTTTTGAATTAATATCAGTTTTAGCAGATGATGCTTCTACCCATTCCATTTCATCGCTTTCCTAAAATAATTTATAATGTAAATATCAAGCGTATTAGTAATTTCAAAGGAAATTCCCCTTAATGAGTTAGTTAACACTAACCATACCATAACGGATCAAAAGACCCGTTTTTGTATGTTGTTTTGTATTGTATTGAAAAGTGTTGGTATGTTCAGTGTTAATAGATAGATTGTGTATAGCATGTGTCGCATTTCAACCCTAACACTAACCTAACTGAGAAGTTCTTGCAGCTTTAATAGTATTAAAGTACATCGTCTGCCTTGTAATTTCTCNATTTTTATAACCTTTCTTAAAGAATAAATTAAATTAGATGACTTTTAAACAAACTAATACAAAATTTTAAAAAAAAATTATGCACTTCTATTCTACGTTTTAGGGCGTTTTTTAAAGATATTTTACCAAAGAATGTAAAAAAAAAAAAAAAAACATTTTAAGTGCCTCAAACTTGATGCAAAGCTATAAAAGCTTGAAATTAATTGCATTACCATCTTGCTGTAAAAAATTATCTGAGCTTCAGAAACAACAAACAAATTTAATATTTAAAATATTTAAAAACTTTTTTAAAAATTCCAATTTTTATTAAAAATGTGATCACAAACTTTTTTTCTTCTACAAGAGAATAAATTTTCTTTATATTAACATTTTCACATTAAGCTAAAAGAAAGCTTTCTAAAGATAGTCAAAAGCTAATTTAACACTCATGAATAACTATCAGGAATTTATGGCATACGTAAAAATGACATTAATTACCAAAAACTGCTATTTCATGTGACAACAGAGACTTCAATGAAATAAAAAATAGCCTAATTTAAAAATGTTAATATTACTTTAAGAGAGAAGAATATAGAGGAATTAGTTATAATTCTTATAAGAAACCAAAAGGGATAAAATCAGTTATAAATTTTAAAATGCTTAGAAAGAAAAATAACATAAAATAATTTATGAAAATTGGAACATTCCACAGGGTAAGCATAAAAGGAAACTTACTGATTCACTAGAATTAGACCTGTTTTCATGCTTTTTCTTCTTATGATGTTTCTTTTTCTGTAGTAATAAAGAAAAAAAACTTTTAAAACAAATGTACAAAGCGTAAACATGTATCATTCGAACCTTAAAGTCAGAATATATCAGGGGTATAGAGGTTTTTTTGAGAGGTTCCTATTTTGTGAAAATTAAAAATTCTATTCAAAAATCAACACAAAAATATGGTAAAGTCAGAAAATATTTTCAAAAATTTTCACTATAAATAAAAATCATTTATGACTGGTAAATTTCGATGAATTTTTTTCCCATATATTCAAAAACAATTTTGCTGTTGTAAAATTTGAGGCTTAAAATTGCATCAAAATTTAAAAATCCATAAAAATTATTGTCTATAGTTAAATTTCAACTTGAATTTAATAAAAAAATGCATTTAACAGTACTAGCATTAAAAGTTATTTTCATAATGAGAACATTATTGACTGGACCTACAGAAAAAATTATCACAGAGAAAATAAAATGTTTCATAAAAAATAAATGACTATTAGAATATATTTAGATTAATATTTAAGATAATAGTTAGAGCTTTGACTTCCAGTAAAGTTTACAGAGGGAAAGCCTTGTCATTTCATTTCAAAAAACTGTCTGCGAACACAAAATTTCAATTGAAACATTTTCTGCACAAGCAATTTATTTACTCTTGTAACTAGTTTCAACCCTTTTGCCACCTAATTTAGACAAAAAAGTTTTGAAAATAATGGATGTTTTTTAAAGTATTATAGACTTTTTTTAAAACTCTATATTGTTATTAAACATGCCAGTATGTATTTCATTAAATTTGGCAATTTTTTGAAGATATGAAACTAGTTATTAGCAAATGTTCTGTTGTTGTATCTGAATTTTCTAAAAAGGGCAGGGTTGAATAAAACAGTTCTTTTTTTAAAATAATGATACATATTAACAAAAAATTTCCGCCATGGTGACAAATTTTCTGTGAATAACGTTCACATGTTGTTCGATATATTATGCATATTTGCAACTAGATTTATAAAAATTACTTTATAAGTAATTTAATAAAATTAACATAATATAACGATATTTAAATTTTTATAAACTAAATTAAAAAATAAAAACAAACTCAGCCTTTTAAATATATCGAAATTGTATTATTATTTAATAAAAAATACATTCAAGTACATTTGAAACTTCAAATTAAAATAAATCAGAGATAAACAAAAATAAAGTTTCAGTAGAGATAATAAACACAGAGTCAACAAAAATTTCTCAAAAAATAAAGAACAAACCCTAGTGAAAATGGAAAGAGAAACAGTATATTAAGAAATAATATAATGTTTGATTAATAACGAAATCACAAACTTAGCTTTCCACTCTTTTTTTTTTTCCTTTCAACTTTACTTCAATTCTATAGAAAGCTTCTCTTCACAAATGCATGCAAAATACAGGAAAGAAAAATTATCCCTTCTGATAAAAAGAAAACCCGAATTAGCAAAACATCACTCTAGATTTGATAGGTCACTTGCCCACCAGAATGATCCACCTGATTATCATTTCAAACTGGCATTAGTCAAATCCAAGTGGTCTTTATAAGACCAATCAATTCACTAAATTTTTTTAAATAAATTTAAGCCACTATTCTGCTTCTTGGGACTATGAAACAAATATTACAGTTAGCATTGATATTAGTTATTATTATTAAGTACTATTACTTATATTAATACTCAATATATAAAAGTACCTATTAACACCCCTAAGGAAAAAAATTTTTAGGATTTCTGCGACAAACCACTCTAGCACTAATATTTTTCTGCAAGAAACTAATAATAATAATTAATGCACATGCTATTAATCAAATTTTTAAATTTAAAGTAACAGAAACGCAGTATTTACAAAAAAAGCCTATTTGGATGTAATAAAATTGCATGTATTTTTTTAAATGATTATGTAATATTTTTTTATTCTAATATAATGGGCGATATTCTTATATTTTATAAGAGGAAAACACAGTAATTATTTCTTTTTTCGCATTTTGTTAACCATCATCACATAAAAAAAAGAATTAAAAATCGTAGAATCCATAAAAGAAAAGAAAAGCAATTTTTTGTTTCCAAATAAGAATTAAAAAAATCACGAGTATTTCTTCCCTTCTGATGCGTGAAAAAGATATCGATTGAATATAATTGTGGAGGAAAAAAATCCTTCAAACATTTCTGCAGAAAAGAAATTTTTTGATTCAATATTTTTTATTTTTCATTCTTCTCAAATAAGAATCGAAAAATTTTGAACATTTCTTTCCCCTCCGATGCGCGAAAAAGGCATCTTTTAAATATAATTTTGGAGAAAAAAAATTTCGAACATTTTTGCAGAAAAGAAAACCACAATTTTACTTTCTGAAGGAAAATTCTTTCTGAATGAACTCTGTAACATTCTGCGACAATGTCGCCGTGTCGCTGCGATTCTGCCACGGGGATTACCACAATGACACTTTCTGCAATTAATTAAGAATCACTAGCATATAATAGTTTGGAGATTTTATAGTGCCCACAGAAACAGAATAGAACTAATTTTGAATTTTAATTAAACCTTAATATATTGTTTCCAACATTTTATAAGTCACTTCAAAAAGAAATTTTATTACTTTGCAGTGCTTTATGAAACATTGGTAATATATAGTTATTATTCTAAATTTGATTTTTTTTCCATGATAGGGCCCATAAAATATTGGTACTTTTCAGTAAGACGGTTGCAAGCTAAAAAAAGTTGCCAAAAATGTAGGGGTCATTCCACGTCAAATCATACAGGATTTTTCAAAAATGGCACCCACCGTCTCAGATTTTGATGAAAATTTGTACCATTATAGAATTTTTGATGCTGATTTCAAAAATATCAATTATATTTGAATCGGTTAAGGGGTTTAAAAGTTATAAGCATTTATATTCTTGCCAAAATGGCACATTAGCCGCCATTTTGATTCACACATCAAAGGCTATTATTGACTATAACTCACCTTATATTTGTCATAGAATAACAATTTTTTTTTTATTTTGTTCAGAATTAAGTAATCTGTCATTTAAACATTTTTAATTACAAATAATTATCTTACTTGTTAAGTAAATGTGTCTGTTTTGCAGTTTTTTGATCAGCGGAGTTGAGTAACTTCAGGAGATTATATCTGGCAACTCGCCCCCTTCAATTTCAATAATATTTTAGACAAAGATAGTTGAAAGTGCATACTAACATCTGATATAAAAATTTTGATGGGCCATTCACACACTTTTTTAAAAAAAATATTTTTCTTATGAATTACTATGCATTAAAAGTTCTGGTAGTTTGATGATTTATAGTCCTTAATTGTAAATGGAATACAATAAAATAATATAAAAAGAATGTGAATGGTAGAAAAATATATAAAATAAAGTAATTATTTATTAAATAAATTTTTTTTTCCTTTTTTTGAACCCTCCCCCCCCTCAAAAAAGAAAAGAAAAAAGAAGATAGGAAAAAATTTGAAAATTTCACCTTTCTTACAAAGAAATTTATTCAGAATCATATAGCTGTAGTAAATGAGAAGGATCAGAGTCTAAAAAAAATATAAATAAAAGTTTTTCTGAAAGAGTAGTGGGCAATATCAAATAATAAAGAGGCATTAAATTGTTTTTAAATTGACCTAAATTTGATCTTTATGGAAGGAGAAAATCAGAATTTATGATGTTGAATAATATCAGAGAGAAAGTCATTGTACCCCTTATTTTAATTCAAACATTTTGTTTGATTCTAAAATGTAATTCAAGACCAAATTCTGAATATTTATAGTTAATTTTATCCTTTTATTTGTCACAACCAGGGTTGGCAAGGTTTAGAACAGAATGGATTAATTCACGGTTTAAACCATCCTGTCCAAAACCCCTTTGTCCAAAACCCTTTTACTCANTATATCACCAACTGTCTGATAATTTGTATGCTCTTATTTCATCACTAACATCTGCAAGCCTTTTTTATTCTGTGAGACTTTTATTATAATATACATTCAATTTTTTTTTATAAAAAAACAACAACTTCTGAATAGAAAAAAAAAAATACTGAAAACTATTGTCACACTTTACCCCTACATCCCAAAAAAGAAATTTGACTAATCAGAATGTATCTTCTGCCAGAACATCAGAACATTTCCATTTGTTCCAATCAGAATTGAGTGTATGTAAAATTTATTTTCTTTCAAGAATTAGAATTGTATTTCCATTCATTTAGAACAGAATAGAAATAAAATAGAACAGAAACTTTTAAGTATAAGTTTTCTAAAATTTTAAATGTTATCAATTTGGTATTCAAAAAGAGTTTTATTATGGAAACCCAAGTATTGTGCAGTATTGGATTAACTTTGAAAGATTTTAAGTGTAGTTTAAACTCACAGAAGATTTTAGAACTTTCTTCTGAGAATACAGAACTTATTTCATTTAGAAGCCACTTAGATTTTAATGAAAGTTCAACTATATGCCTCAAACATAAGGAGTATCTCTTGTATAAGTATGAAATATATCAAAAAAAATGTTGTGACTTATTTAATTCGCATCCCAATGAAACCAGGAAAGTCTCCCTTCGTCTCATAAGTGTAGATCAGGCCAAAACATATCGAGCTAAATTGGGAATGTCAGCAATTCCTGGCCAGAAATTGTGTTCTTCTTGCAGAAAAAAGGGTGCAGAGCTACTCTTGGATGCTGAAAAAGAAACAACCGAATTAAACCTCCACCCTAGCTGTTCGATAAAAGATACAGAATTTTCAGCAGTCGTAGTTGACAAAGAAGAAGAACGTGAAAGTTTGAATGAGAGCTTAACAGCAGTAGGAGTTTCTCCATTGAAATTACACTCAGTTTCTGTTCACCGGAAAGTTTCAGCTGGTAAGCGGAAATTAAGTCAAGCTAAAGTTGCTCTGAGAAAAAAAGTTGCTAATACTCTAAGTGTAGAAGAGAAAATCCTCGACAGTAGCAACTCTGATGATGAAGATGAGATATTTAAAAAGAAGGCTGCAGAATTTGATAGATTGATGGAGTTGATAAAAGAGAAAATTTCCCTTGTTTCACATAGAGAAAAAATTCAAATGTTGACTCTTGTTCCATTGTCATGGCCAAGAAAGAGAGTTGCAGAATTTTTTAACGTCACAGAATATCAAGTACAACAATCCAGAAAACTTTTGAAAGAGAAAGGACTACTATCGATTCCAAGCATAAGAACAGGAAAGAAGCTGCCTCAGGGGACTATACAGGCAGTGCAAGACTTCTATGAAGATGATGAACATTCTCGCCTTATGCCAGGACAAAAAGATAAAATAAGCATAAAAAGGAATATACATGTTCAAAAAAGGCTTATGTTATGTAATTTACGAGAGCTATATGTACATTGGTGTCAAACTCACAATGAAAAAATTGGATTTTCGAAGTTTGCAGAACTACGTCCAAAACATTGTGTCCTAGCTGGTAGTTCCGGAACTCACTCTGTATGTGTGTGCACATCAAAATGTGCAACTACTTATTGCAGCTGCTGAAATTGAAAAACACTACCAAGAGCTTGTGCAAAAACTTGTATGTAGTATAGATAACAGAAAATGTATGCTACGCTTATGTCATAGATGTCCCAATATTACTGTTCTTAAAGATTATCTTCAGTCTAAATTTCCAGATTTTGACCCGGAAGATCCAATAACATACAAGCAGTGGGTTTCAACAGATAGAATAGATTTGGCAATACATACTTCTAACCTTAATGATTTTATTGATCTTTTTGTTAACAAGATTGAAAAATTGATTCCACATATGTATGTAACAAAATGTCAAAGCTCATACCTAAAAAAGAGGAAAGAAGAACTCAACAGCAATGAGGCAATTATTATTATGGATTTTAGTGAAAATTTTTCTTTTGTTCTTCAAGATGAAGCACAAGGTTATCACTGGACTCACAGTTGTTGCACTTTACACACAGTTGTATTATATGTAAAGCAAAATGAAAATTTAATTAGTGAAAGCTTTTGTTTCCTCTCAGATGATATGGATCATGACGTGCCACTAGTATACCAAACACAAAAGCTAATGATGCAATATTTGAGTGAAAATTTTCTGAATGTGATAAATGTTGAATATTTCACTGATGGCTGCGCTGGTCAATACAAAAATTGCAAAACTCTTTTAAATTTGTGTTACCACGAATTTGATTTTTATGGAATAAGCGCAAAATGGAATTTTTTTGCTACCAGCCACGGAAAGTCTGCCTGTGATGGAATAGGTGGAACAGTTAAAAGGCTTGTGTCAAAAGCAAGTTTGCAAAGACCATTGCATGATCAAATAATTAATGTACATAAGATGCATGAATATTGTAAGAGTAATATAAAAGGTATACACTTTTTTTTCATCAGCAACATTGAAATGATTAAACTGCGTAAAGAATTATTTAAGCGACTGCAGCATGCAAAAACAGTTTCAGGTACAAGAAGTATGCATTTTTTTCAACCAGAAGGTAATATGCAAATCAAAGGGAAAAGGGTAAGTACTGATGAAGAATTTTCAATCACTGCCTCTTTAGATTCCAGTACTAACAACAATTTTGATGTTCCATCTGTACATAGCTATGTGGCATGTGTTTATGATGCAAATTGGTATATTGGAATGGTTTTGAAAGTTCATGTGGAAGAAGGAGATGCTACAATTAAATTCATGCATCCACATGGCCCATCCCTTTCATATTATTGGCCAAAAAGTGATAGTTGCATAGTTCCTTTTACAAATATTCTTTGTACAGTTGACATTAATACCACAACAGGAAGAACATACAAGCTCAATGATGAATCAAACACTTCAGTGTGTAAACAATGGAAAAAATATTTTTCTGCAACAGCAAAATAGATTTAAAGAACTAACGGCGTCTGATTTTTATTGAAAGTTTAATATTGATTTTTTTTAAATTTTTCATCAGAAATTTTGAATTTCTTTACTTTTAATGTATTTACTTAAAACTAAAAGCCAGCTCATTCAAAATGTATGTTTATTTTGAAAAATTATAATCATTATGTTGTTGCAATTCAGAATGAAATCTGCTATTAAAAAATAATTCTTTAAAAAAAAGTGTGTGAACGGCCCATCAAAATTTTTATATCAAATGTTAGTATGCACTTTCAACTATCTTTATCTAAAATATTTTTGAAATTGAAGGGGGCGAGTTGCCAGAAATCATCTCCTGAAGTTACTCAACTCCGCTGATCAAAAAACTGCAAAACAGACACATTTACTTAACATGTAAGATAATTATTTGCAAAAAAAAAATTTTTAAATGACAGATTACTTAATTCTGAACAAAATAAAAAAAAAATTATTATTCTATGACATATATAAGGTGAGTTATAGTCAATAATAGCCTTTGATGTGTGAATCAAAATGGCGGCAAATGTGCCATTTTGGCAAAAATATAAATGCTTATAACTTTTAAACCCCTTAACCGATTAAAATATAATTGATATTTTTGAAATCAACACAAAAAACCCTGTAAGTGTACAAATTTTCATCAAAATCTGAGACGGTGGGTGCCATGGCTGGATGAACTGACATGGAATGACCCGTAGACATCCTCCAAATTTTATTTATTTATTTTTATTTTGTATTTTAAAGAGATTAAAATTAAAATTAAATTAAAAAAATGGTTGAATTTTCTTGCGCCCAGCTAACAGAGAAGTACCAAAATATTAAACAATAATTCTATACAGTAACTTTGATTTACAAAGAAAAATAGTTAAAAATATGATCTACCAAATTCCACTCAAGTATTTATTTTTTTAACAAAATAAAAAAGGAAAAGGGGGAGATTTCCATATCGTGATCTGTGGCAGAGTAATGGCCAAGTTTTGGAACTTCTGAGCAGCAACCAACGAGAAACTAAAAATATCACAAAAAAGGGGGAGATTTCCGTATCGTAATCAGTGGCAGAATTATCCTCAAGTCTTGGAAACTTCCGGGCAGTGGTCCGCAAGACACTAATAAAAACATCACAGAAAGAGACCAACTTGAAAGGTATAACTCGTAGCCACCCCCGGGCAAACAGTTACATGTTTTTTGTTTAAAGATTTGCAAGTTTGGCATCTTGGCTATTACAGTTGGTGCGACAGATCACAATACGAAAACAACCCCCAGAAAAGAACCAACTCACAGGGTATAACTCGTAGACAACCCTAGGAAAACTTATACATGCTTTTGTTTTGCTTTTACATTTTTCCCCTGTAATAGCCAAGGCACTTTGTTTGGCACTTTGGAGATAGTAGGCATGTTCAACAGAATTGTGTCTTTTAATGATTTACTTTGCCCTTGCACTCACTATAAACTATAAATTTTCCCTCTTTTTTCACTAGAACAAATCGTACAATATTTTTTCCTGAAAAATTTGTGCAGAAAAATGGGATGATTCAATAGTATTAGTTTTGCGCAGCTTAAAACAAGTGATAAGCGCTCAGAGCTCATTATGAAAATAAAAACATTTTTCTATCGAACTACATTTTTTTTTAAGAATAATTCTTTCAACATAAAATATTTTAAGTATACAAGTTTGGAGAGCAAGTGATCAAACGAAAATAGTGAAATCAGAAAACGTGAGATTTTGTAAAAAGGAGCTGAAAACAAACTTTATGCTTGTGCTTGGAAGTTGAAGACTCGTGGCTCTTTTTCAATTTCTGCTCTTCCATCAATAACGGCAAGGAAAATTTAATAAATATATAACTTTAAGATTCGTACGACTCCAAAAGTACTTTTGTTTTATTTATTTACAATTTAGCTTGTGAACTATATCAGTTTCCGGTTGTCGTTCTCTGCCCACTAGAAGACTCTCAAAATACCTGATCAAAAACGTCTCACCTAACAATTTGCAGGTTAAAGCGATTCGAACGTTTGAATTGGGTGCGTTTGACGCAGGGATTAAATTAGATTTCTGATTTGAAAGTTAATTTTTACCAAGATATTTTATGATTTTTTTTCCTAGATATTTTACCTGAATATTTATAAATATATTTACCTAGATATTTAGTAAATATATTTCTTATTTCGAAATAAAACGTGAACAATTTCTTTTTTTGTTAAAAATTTTTGTGATTCCATATTTTTATTAAATTTTATTTTACCTATCTTGTAATATTTTCAAAATATTTTGAGAAAAAAATGCTTCGTAATTTAAAAAATAATAATAAATTAAAAAAAACCTGCTTTTTTGTCAAATTTGCAATTTTTTCTTTAAAAAAATGGTGAATTACAACTGAGATTGGTACATGATAAATAAATAAGATTACTGTAATAACTCTATCGTATATACATAAATAAGAATTATACTCTAATTTTTATACGTATTTTTCATCCACTGTACAATTTTCTGTAACAGCTTTGAAAGAACGGAAGCTTTTACAATGAAATCGAGTCCCGCAGTGGACTGATTGTTAAGACACGGTTCCCAGCATCACTGGCTGCGGTCAGTGTGTGGATGGGTGACCACTTGGATCAACCTGCATAGGCACCGAGGGTGTGCGGTATTGGTCCTCGTTAAACTGTTCTACCGTAAAGTGCTCGACTTCACGTGCAGGTCGTCGGGCTACCGAAGCAGGGGTGTCATCCCCTCTGCAGAGGATCAAAATTGTGATGGCATGTCTTCGCATCATCCTTAGGGATGCTTCCCAGACCGTCGCCAATGGCCCATTGTGCAGCTCTAGTGCGACGTAAATGAACTACAACAAAACCAATNTACTATAATAACTCTATCGTATATACATAAATAAGAATTATACTCTAATTTTTATATGTATTTTTCATCCACTGTACAATTTTCTGTAACAGCTTTAAAAGAACGGAAGTTTTTACAATGTAATCGTTTTTTAAATAATTATAAAGTTGTTAATAACTTTAGATGCAGAATTAAGAAACATATTCTCATTTATTTTCTTTATTTTTCTGTTAACCTTACGAATTTTGTATTTGCAAAAATTGCAAATGCGAAATAACAAGACAAAAAGATACATTTACTTTTATCTATAAAACCGAAACAACTGGATAACTTTTTTTTTTCTTCCAAAATCACAATTCTAAATTTATTGACAATTATAATCTACATGATATAATTCTAATAATAATAATAAAAATGAATTGTAATGATATAACAATTATAAATTGTATTAACAAAAAATGCTTGAATAAGAAAAACTTTTTAGTTATTTCTTAATCTGTTGTTTGACATTAAACCTTTTAAAAATACCTTTTATTAATAAAATGCTAAATTACAAATTTTAGGGAGAAAAAAACTTAAGCATAGTTTTTTTTTCTCTGTTTTGAGATTCTTTATTAAATATAAGCTGAGTTATTCTAAAGATATTCATTTATATTCATTTCTTATGTTTAAACTATCGTTATTTGGCTTTATTCAAATAATATTTCAGATTATCATAATGAATGCGATTAATTCTACTTCAAAAAGTTTTTGACGAATTTATACGACATGAAAAAAAAAGAAGGAAATTCTTTCGAATGACTTTCGCATAATTCATTTGCATGCACAATGAAAGATTATAAAACAAAACACAAAAATAAATAAAAACAATTGAAAGTATTTTGTACTTGAAAATTTCTTTAATTAAAACATTTTCTAAATATTTAACTACTAACACGAATTTGTGGCATAACAAATTACTAATAACCCTTATGGCTAGACCGAAAGCAGTGAAATTGAATAACTAACAATTCTAACATGAAATATTTAAAGAAAAAATAAAGTGCGGTTACTGAGATGGGATTAATATAAGAAGGTAATGAAAAGAACTGACACTGTTTCAATATAATCGTTTTTGAATTATGATAAAGTTGCTGATAAATTTAGATGCATAATTAAGAAATCTTTTTTTTAATTTATTTTTCTGTTCATCTTTTGAAAGTGCGAAAATTTCCTCTTTTGATTTTCTAAAACAAAAAAGATATTTTTACTTTTATATCTATAATACCAAAATATACACGACAATTTATATTGAAAATTATTTTTTATATTTTAAAAATAATTTTTGTTAAATTACTAATACGAATTTGTAATAAAAAAATCCCGAATAATACTTATTCCTAGAGAGACAGCAATGAAATAGTACAACTAAAAGTTTTAACACCCAAATGTTCTAGTTACTTGAACCCTTGTCTTTTGAGTACGGTTCAATATAAGATTGTAATAAAAAGACCGGAATATGAAGAACAGAAGCTTTTTCAATAAAATCGTTTTTGAATGATTATATATTTTCTGATAAATTTAAATGCATAATTCAATGCTTTTTCTTATTTATTTTCTTAATTTTTCTTTTCTAAATATTCAGAAAGAAAAAGATATTTTTATTCTTATAACTATAATGTCAAAATATACTCGAATTTTTCTTAATTATTTATTATTTTAGTAATAAATTTTTCTTAAATTAACATTAAAAAATCTCTATAATCACATTTAAAAAAAAAAAATTAGAAATTGTATTAAAAAATGCTTTTCTAAAGAAAACTTTTTAGTTATTTCTTTAATTGTTGTTTGACATTTGAATTCTTAAACTACTTATTGTCAGTAAAATGGTGAATTACGAATTTTAGGAAGAAAAAAAAAAACTTAAGCAGAAATTTTTTCTCTGTTTTAAGATTCTTTTTTAAGTATTTATAAATATATTCCGTATAAAGAAATATTATTCAGTATAACGAAAAATTATAGACATATGGAAAAAAAAGGGGGGGGGGGAATAATAATTTAAAAAAATAACAAACAACAGTCTAAAAAAAAAGGATGAAATTTTATTTAAAAAAAACCGGGGAAAAAAAGATATAATCTTTTCATCAGCCCACACGATTATATCCGCAAAAAACAGTGCTTTCGGATACTGTATCAAGCAAAATATATTAATACAATAGTGTGAGAAGCACTCAAAAAATATTTTTTTAAAAATTACAGCAAATAAAATAGAACACAATAAGTAAAAATAACATGTAAAAACAGAAAATAAAATAAAAAACAATATAAAACATAGATTATAAAGCCAGGAGCTAAACCAAATGTACTTACATGGACGGGAAATTTTTCAAGAATGATTTAAAAATGTTTTCGCAACAAGATTGCCAGATTACAAAATATGAAAACAAAAGCGCAAACTGAGTGTAACTAGAGGGTTTCAAATGTGCTGTTCTTACTGCACTGCTGAAGTGATTTGTTATTCTGTGCATTGATTTGTTAGTTACCAAGGATGGGCCCGAAATAGATGTGCGCAAGGTGCTGGATAATTTAAAAAAAATTTACACTAGTCATCAGAAAGCAGTTAGACTAGTTATCAGAAAGCACTCTTTTTTGCGGATATAATCGTGTGGGCTGATAAAAAGATTATATCTTTTTTTTTCGGTTTTTTAAGTAAAAATTCATCCTTTTTTTTTTTAAACTGTTTGTTATTTTTTTAATTATTATTTCCCCCCCCCCTTTTTTTTCATACGTCTATAATTTTTCTTTGTTTTATCTATATATATGAAAATTAAAGATACGATAATACAGTACATTTAAGACAATCTTAAAAAGCAGTACATAGAACTTCATAAAGTATCTGAAGAAGCTTCGTGACCAAATTAGTTTTTGCATGTTTAAAAAGTTGATTTGATATGAAAAATTTATCATTCAATCAAACTTTATAAAGTATCTGAAGAAACTCCGTGACTGAATAAGTTTTTGCATGTTTAAAACGATATTTTGAGATGAAAAATGGCATCATTCAATAAAATTACTTTTTAATAAATCATGATAATCAAAAAGTACATTATCTATTTACTACGATTGTTTGCTTATTTTTCTCGTATCTCTACAAGTTAACTTTCAGTCTGCATTCAATAAACACAAATTTTCTGATTTATTGAGATTGTTAATAAAAAATTTATTGCAGTGTATGTCTTTCTATTTTAAAGAAAATAATAAATTGCATTTAAATGGCGTGATCAAGTGAAATGCAAAAGTGTCATTACAAGTAACTATAAAATTGAGTTTATGATTAAACTTCTAATATGACCTTGCTTTCTTCTTCTTCTGATCACGTTTTTTCGGTTTCAAATTTAATTAGAATATGATCCAATAATAAAGTTAATGAAGAACATTTGTATTACAAGGGTACATTAATCTACTTTTAAAATTTTTAACCAAAAACAATCTTGTCACGTTATAAAATATAATTTATTTTTACCAAGTAAAATTACGAATTGTCTTTTTTTGTTAAAAATTGTATCAAAAAGCTATCTTCTACAGAGTTTAAAACTTTTTAAAAAGGTAACAACTTTTTCACCTTCTAGTTCGTATACTCCCACGGCTACTAATTCTAGAATGTGTGTGACTCATAGCAAACTCAAATAACCAAATAGAAGATAAAACACAACAAGGTTTGAAATCTAATTTCATTGTTTTGTATGAACAAACGTCCGTAACAAAATCTTTTACTGAAAGAGATTACTTAAGTAAAATAGATTAAATTCTCTATAAGTATGAGAAAGCAACGGTAAAAGTATTAAACGTTGTCTGTAACTTTAAACACAAGGAGAAGTCTAGAATAGTATTTAATGATATCACCTACGACTATATACTATAACTTTTTAGAATGTTGTATTATACAATTTTTTAGATGAGTAAGGATTAAAAATAAAAAAAAAATTACAACCATATTGGTAAAATCTTCTAAAAAAATATAAAGCTATTAAAATAATCCTGACTGCAGATAATCTGTAGTGATTCCAACGAAATTATGAGAAATTCCACGCCGTTGAAGAATAAGGCATTTGAGGAACTTAAAAAAAAATTAAGAGTGCCTTGCTTTTTAGTCAACATTACCGGCATTAAAATGGCGCACAGAAAGAGAAAATGTATGGTTTTCGAATGCGTAAGAAATTATTTTTTTGCATTATTTCTACATGCTTACCTTATTCTATTTACTATATGGGTAATTTGTGAGCGCATGAAATATTACTCAGTTTTTCTCGGTTTTTTACTAAATGTCATTCCTATCATTTTGTGGTGGACTATATATCAACAAAGATCATCGCTGAAAAAATTGATGCATCAAATGTGCAATCTATTTCACCATAAACGGGATTTAACGAAAAATTCCCTTATTTTAAATGTTGTGGTGCTTGGAAGCATAATTTACATTCTTTGTGAAGGGACTATGCGCTCTTATAACTTTCATGTAATGTCACCATTGCTACTATTTCTACAAGTCTGCCAAACAGTACAACAGAGTTTAATGCATACATTAGTTTCTCTAACAATTTGTGCAGTATGTACAAAAGTTTTACAACTCTTGCATTCAATCAAATATGCAATATCAGAACTTGAAAAAAACTTCTGTCCCAAAACTTTGGAATTATTAATTATAAGAATTCTAGACACTGAAAAATGCATAGATTTGATCCATAACATATTTTCTTTTCCTGCACTTCTTGCAGTGATGTCGAATTTTTGCACATTTTCGTTTTTCACACTCGATATTTTTTCCTTACAATATTACAAATTCCTAGATATTTTGCCAATCGTCAAGGAATGTCTCCTATCTGCCTGTCTGATTCTGTTAATTAGTGAACCAACTACGAAGATATCACGAGAAATAAAGCGATTAAAAACTATGATTTTAGATCTTGTAGTTTTTAAATATGATTTCAACATGAGCACTCGTTGTGAAAAACTGGTTGAGTTGTTTCTGAAGAGAGAAGTTGTTCAGTTTTCTGCGTTTGATGCCTTTTATATACACCGGGGAATTTTACTTCGAGTGATGACGGCTGCAATTGTGCATTCTGTTTTATACAATAAATTAGTAGATTTAATTGGTAATGATGGTGTATCAATTCTCTAATTTATTCATGTATTTGAAAACATAGGAATAAAATTAAAAACTCTTCAAAATTAATTACTAACAACTGGACAAATTCCTACAAATTTTGCCAATAGTCATGGTGAAGGGGGTTTAATTATCGACTATGTCAGTGGTTCCCAACCTTTTGTGGACCATCGCCCCCCTCTTGGGGTTGGCTGACACCTATCGCCCCTTTCTCTTTTTGCTCAAAAAAACATTCATTGTTGCTTGTGAGCAACCAAACACTGAAAATATGCTATGTTATTTGATTTTAATTTAAATTGTAATGCAAATAAGGAGGCACATTTATTCTGTCATTTTTATTAATTAAAAAAAAATTTGCATCTTCTTTTTTCAAAAAGAAATGATATTTAAAACGGAATAATCAAAACAAAAGTGCATTTCTTAAAATTCATATTTTAATGTAATCAAGAAAAAGTTAAAACGTTAACAACTAAAATTTGAGAAAAAAATGAAGAGGGGGAAAGTACATTTTTACCACTTCAATGACTGCCCTGTGTTTGGTGTATTTCAAGTTAAAGCTTGAATGTCAGGTTTTATGCTCGTCAGATTTAAACGCGGGTCTCCTTTAAAGCAAATGTCCAACCTATCTCTTTGCTTTGTGAGCAGCTGGAAGACAGAACTAAATCCTCTCTCCACTAAATATGTTGACGGGAACGAGATGAGAAGCGGCTCAGTTTGTTTCCACAATTGTGGATAAGTGTCCATAAGCTTTACCCAAGCTAACTCGTAACCGTATTTTTTAAAGACGACTTTAGCCTCACAGTCATACTTCAAATCTAAAATCTCAGTCTACAAAGAGGAAGTGAGCTTATCCACAACTTCAAAAGAGAAAGGATCGAAAATCCAATCCGGAATTTCTAATTTCATCAAATCTTTAAATCTTGATTCCATAACTGATCAAGGTGATCAGTAAAAATTAAGATTTTATTTTCGAGAATCTCGATATCTGCCATTGAACACTTTTTAAGAGTTGGAAATTGCATTAGCTCTTTGCGACCAATGTTTGACTTGTAGATATCAAACTTGGCGATGAATGAAGATATGATTCCCTTAGCCTTGATAATGTTCATTTTATTTCCTTGAAGTTTTACGTTGATTTCCTTCATTTTTTCAAAACTATGAGTGAGGTACGCAGTTTCCAACTTGCGTTGCTTCAAACTCTCACTTAAAACAGGATCAGTGGTGTCGAGAAACTCAGTAACCGAATCCAGCAATTCGAAGAAACGGCTCAGTTTCCTTTTGGAAGCCATCTTATGTAGGAGCAGAGCAGGAATTCGATATCTTCATCATTTTCATGGCAAAGTTTTTGGAACAAACTGTTATTAGAAGAATTAGCTTTTATTTTATTGATTCCAGAAATAACCAATTTTTCGCAGCCAAAAGTTGACGATGAATGATGAGATAACTTCCGGTACTTCTTTTTTAAGGTGATCCAGAAACTCAGTATGACAACCAGACATGGTTGGAGCACCATCTGTTGCACAAGCACTTTCATTTGTGAGGGGAATTTCTTTTATCTCAAAATAATCTTTGACCAATTTAAAAATCGACGAACCTTTTTCATCTGTGTACAAAGTTCTTGTAAACAGCATTTCCTCGTTTATCTCCTTACTCTCATTTATGAATTTCACGTAAGCTAAAACAGCTCTGTTTTCTATCACAGTTGATTCATCAATCTGCAACGCAAATTTACCTTCTTTCAGAAATTTGATGAGTTTTGATTCAACGTCGGCGGCCATCTCATCAATACGCCTGGAAACAGTATTATTGCTCAGAGGAACAGAGTTATCAGATTTCCGCCTGCGATACCAAAACGTATGACGAAAACGATCCTGCACTTGAATTTTTTTTAATTTTTAACTATCATAATTCTTTGTCTACACCAAAACCATAGGTTTCATATATATTTTCAATTTCAATCTCAAATAGCTTTTATTATTAATATTAGCAATTTTTTACTTTTGAGTACTCGTCGTACCCCTACGGATTATCGCCCCCAGGTTGGGAACCACTGGACTATGTCAACATCTATCAAAAGGTACATTTGGTGGAATCAAGTTAACATGTCTTATATACTAGTGATTTGGTATTCAATATTTATAGTGGTAGTTACACCACAATGGAATGGATCCTATCTGCTTGTTTGATTCTGTTAATTATTTTAGATCTTGTATGTACTATCATTTTAGATCTTGTAGTTTCTAAATATGATTTCAACATAAGCAGTCGTTGTGAAAAACTGGTTGAGTTGTTTCTGAAGAGAGAAGTTGTTCAGTTTTCTGAGTTTGATGCTTTTTATATACATCGTGGAATTTTACATCAAGTGATGACGGCGGTTATTGTGCATTCTGTTTTACACAATTAGTAGATTTAATTGATAAATGGCGGTAAATCAGAGAACTAATTTATTCTTGTATTTGAAAACATAGGAATGAAATTAAAAAAAAATTTCAAAATTAATTAATAACCACTGGAATCACAAACTGAAAGAATTCGTGTCTCCAAAATCGCATAAATTTTATCATATATTGTAAGGAAATTTAGTGTATCTAAAAGGTAACCTTATTTGGGAATTTCAAAGATTTTGTATTTAGGGTAAAATAATGAAAATTTTTAACGTTCAACAATTAGTTGAAGAAAATGAGATTTTCTCTTGAAAAAACAATAAAAAAAAAGAAGCAAAATAGTTTTAAAATTATAAGATGTCAAAAAAATAGGCTTAAGTTCGATTTTTCTTTTTAATAATCTCGGATATTAAAAAGAAAAATCGAAAAATAACCACAAATAAGTCCCGAAAAAGAACTGTAAGGGAAAAGAATAAATATTTTAAAAATTCGCTTAAAAATAATTTAGCTAAATTCAAATATTTGTAACTTCTCTACTGGCAAATGCTTCGGAAATGATTATATAGTGATAGGAAATGATTACATAGTTAAATGATTGAATAGTATGATAGCTATTCTATGCACACATACAAAATTTGAGAAAATGTTTATTGGAAAAATATTTCGGAAATTTAACAACGATACAAACAAATGACTGAAATCTATTTTCAAAATTACTAAACCAATGCAACAATCGATGGAAGAAAACAAACTTGACTTATTTTGCACGTCAATACTTTAAGAGTGTATATTAAGAATCGATGCTTTATAAAAGGATTTTTTTTTACACAAAGGAAAATGTAAAACCTATACATTATCTATGATCGTTAATGAGAAAAAATATTAGCTAATTTTTTTTAATGGAAGCTTAATTTGAAAGACTTAAAAGTTTATTATGTGGTTGGTAGCATCCATTGCATGCAAACGATATTATAATTCGATTTCAGTGTGTAGTTATAACAAGGACATTTATTTGTTATATAATCGATACGATGAAATAGAATTTTTTTATACATATTAAACAGTGCTGAACATTTTATTAAATTCTGAATAGGGTTTCCTTATTTTTCTTTTACATGCATTCTCTTTAAGTCGGAGATTGCAGCGCTCGATAGTGCCTCGTGAATTCGTTAAAAAAAAATTTTTTTTTCGGAAAAAAAAAAAATAAATAAAAAATAAAAAAAAGACTTGTGAAATTTTTTTACTACAGTTTCTACTATAATTTTAATCATGAATTTTTATCTGTGACAATAGAAGAAGTGTTTAGCTCCTCATGTTTCTCGAAACGTAAGAACTTATTCAATTAAATGAACACAACTGGTGTTAAGTTACAATAGTTAATGGGAAATGCAATTATTGTCGTAAAAAAAGCCAGAAGCAAAGTTATAATAATTGAGAGANCAATTGAAGAAGTGTTTAGCTTCTCATGTTTTTCGAAACGTAAGAACTTATTCAATTAAATGAACACAACTGGTGTTAAGTTACAATAGTTAATGGGAAATGCAATTATTGTCGTAAAAAAAGCCAGAAGCAAAGTTATAATAATTGAGAGAAAAGTTGATTGATATTATAAAAAAATTCTTGAAATTAACGAAACTCTTAAAAAAAATATTTGTCAAAATTTCAATTATAGTACAGACAATCAACAATTAGTGTAATATACCCTTTTCATTATTTTGTACACATCATTTTTGACTTGTTCAGATAGATGAAAACTAAAATAATAATTAAATATAATACACGGTTGCTATCTTATTTATAAGATTGCAATTAAATAATCAACAAGTTAATTTCATTGATAGCATCAAAAATGAATTCAATTGGGAAGAAATTTTCGACCAATAAAGTGATAGAGAAGATCAACTAAAATTATAATTTATGTCTCTATATTTCTGATATCTATTCCCTGTTTAATAATTTACTAGTGTAGTTATTATTCATTAAAGACATACTATTTGCATCATAAAATAAGCACCAAAGTTTTTTTTTAAAAAAATCGGAAATTTATATAGTGTTCATGAAATTCTAAGGTAATTAATAAATTACGACTGATATACTGCAAATAGAGTACTCGTTTTGTTTTCAAACGTAATAATTTTTCAGTTGTTGATGAGCTCAAACTACCAATCGCATAGCCGTTGCAAAAAATACGAGATTTCAAAATCAAACTTCGATATGTTTACTATCACAATGAAGCATTCAGAAAAAAAGGTGAATGTTCAATCTTTTAACATTCTTAAAAAGAATTTCAGAGTACTTTGGTTTCTTTTGGATATTATTGGAATTCGAATATTTATACAGGAGAAGAAAGAAGGATTGAGATTCCTCGATGTCATAAGAAAATATTTCTTTGCTTCGCTCTTGCATATATTTATCATCATTCATTTCTGGTTAATTCAATTCAAAAAGTTCGATTACGTAATAATCTTTGATTCGATATTAAGTACCATTCCTATCGTCTTATGGTGGATTATGTTTCGACTCCAAGAATCACTGTGTAATTTGTTGCAACAAATATTTCAATCACACTGTCAGAAAGCAGATGCCATAAAACCGCCAATTTTCTTTAACAAAGTATTCATGGTCGTGTACATTATTTATATCCCCATATTGGCAACAATCCGTTCATTTTGTGCCGAAAGGATTACACTGAGGATCGTGTTAGTGGAAAATTGGCAATTGATACAGCAAGGTTTACTGCACTCTTTAATTTGCCTCACTTACTGCATAATTTGCATGGAGATTTTGCGATCGTTAAAATCTTTCAAAGATACGGCACTGGAACTCGATAAGCAATTTTCTTCGAATGCATTGGAATATTTAGCTGAAGGAATTTTGCATTCTGAAAAATGTGTGGATTTTTTTCAAAACGTTTTTTCCCTCCCGTCCTTGTTTTTAGTGATAACCAATTTTTTTGCCATGGCTATAATCATACTCGATGTTGTAGTTGAGACCAACTTGCCATATTTACGAATTGTATGCCTCATTATGGATTTTGCTCAGCCGACATATTTCATATTTTTGATGGTTGAATATGCTGCAAAGATACCCATGGAAATAAAGGACATAAAAACTTTGATCCTGGATCTCACAGCTTCAAAGTATGATTGCATTCTTTCCAACCGCTGCCAGAAATTAGTGAAGGTTCTAATGAAGAGAAAAGTAACAGAGTTATCAGCGTATAGTGTATTTTCTTTCCAGCGCGGATTTTTGCTGCAAGTGATTGCAGCTGCAGTTGCTAATTCAATTATATTTCACCAAATAGGCAAATAAAGTTCAACGCAGCACTATATAATCCACACTGATATATCATGTATGAAAACATATATCTTTCACTATTAGAACATTTCAACTTTATTTGGGATATATTAATCTTTTTAAACATAGTATGGCTAACATTTATTAAAAAAAAGAGTAATAAATATGGATGGTTGACCGTCTAAAGATAAGCACAGAGGACGCTAGGGGTTAAAATTCGTCGTAAGATTTCCAAGTTACTACTTCCGATTGATGTTTAAGCCTAAGCTTGAAAAGCACGCATCCAATATTATGTATTATACTTGAAGTGTTTACAATGTAACGCTTTCTTTCAATTTAAATCTCAAAGAGACAAACAACAAATGAATTCGGAATCCAAATACGGATGGTTTAAACATTGTATGGCTAACATTTATTAAAAAAAGAGTAATAAATATGGGTGGTTGACCGTGTAAAGATAAGCACAGAGGACGCTAGGGGTTAAAATTCGTCGTAAGATTTCCAAGTTACTACTTCCGATTGATGTTTAAGCCTAAGCTTGAAAAGCACGCATCCAATATTATGTATTATACTTGAAGTGTTTACAATGTAACGCTTTCTTTCAATTTAAATCTCAAAGAGACAAAACAAATGAATTTGGAAGAGCATGAACTCCGCAAGCATGCTATGATGCAATCAGAAAAATTACAAATGGTGATATTTTGCACAACTATAGCCAAATAAGGAATAACATGGCAAATCTTAACACTTTATTTATGTTTTGATATTAATTATCTTACATTTTATTTATGTCCACAACCATTTAAGACTTGTACATGACAGGGAACTCTTATGAATGGTAAAATTGTGCGCAAATTTAAACACATAGCACAATAATAAAATTTCTTAGATTATTAAGCCTCTTCACACATCGCCTCGTAAGAATAACATAAGCGTAGGGACACATCGGAACCATCCATAATTAGCACCGCCTAAAAAGAGTCGGGTCTAAACAGATTGGATTTTTGAGCAAAATTTTTTTTTAGACATATGACAATTTTGCAGGTTGAACTGATGTTCTACCTCTGTTTAGAATGTTCATCTGTCAAAATTTAAAA